AATATTTTTGATTATTGATCTCATCCAAGGTTTTTATTTAAGTGTAAACCTTTTTCATATTTGAATAGTACCTGACGATATAAGGACCTTTCATAGAAACAAGAAGTAACATAAGTTATTTTCATAAGTTCCCCCTACCTCCCTCTACAGACATGGGTACTTTACATAAAATTAAATATTTTGTTTACAGTAATGACTGCATTTTCTCAGAACTATTAGTGCATCAATTGTAACATTCAGCATTATTTTTTTTTGCCACATTGATGCATAGAATATATAAGCAAGGTGTGTTAAATTTTGTTGATGTATTCTGTTTTTTTCTGCAAATATCTATGAGATTGTCTTATCAAACAATTCAACACACTTTGTTATCTTTTAACTCCATTTAAAAAACAAAATAACTCAATTTGCAAACAAGTAGGATAAAGTTTTTGAATGTTATAATCTTTAACAGCATGTCTCGTTAGATAATAAAATCAACAAATCAAAAATCATCATAACTAAGTTTCAAAACGATATTATAGTATTGGCATTATTCCATTCTGATCTTTAAGAATCTATTCAACTGCCATAAAGCACTTCAACATCCATTTAATAGTACAGAAATCTTTACAACTCTTTAAGAATCCAAAAGTATCAATAATCTATGTGGCAATGAGCATCAAGTGGTTTATACAGACCTGGGGTTTGCGAGTCCCGATTATAAGCTTATCATTGGAATAATTGTACAGGGAAATCCCACGGCGAGCTAGACAAAATGAGCAGTTAGTGGTAGGATTTTATCTCAAATATTGATTGCTTATAGAGAAAGTTTTTAGTGGTGATATTTTGTCTGACCTGCCGTAATTCAAGTCAATTTTCCTGTATTGCTTGTATTATTGACAACTCTTTCAGTACTTGCATGATTCATAAGGAAGCTTATTTGTTTTTGTGTTCTAACATTACAGTGTATCATTAGGGAAATGGTTCTTGCAGACAGGTTTGTGTCAATTTGCTCACTTGCTTATCTCTTTAATGTCAACTCTTTACTGCATTCAAATAAATTTTTAACAAAATTCACTCAAAATTTTTGTCCTATAGTTAAGGTTTATAGGGGTGAAAAATACATATTAATTCTTTTTCATAAAATTTAAGAAATCGACAAATATTTTCATTGTTATCATTTACGTCTATTTGAAAAAAATACTCAAATTTCCGTACTGATTTTGTGATAAGGAATTTGTTTTTGAAGATCCCGGAGCAAAATTATTAATATCTCATTTTCAAAACTGTATGATTGCACTAACATGATGCACTTTTCCAGAGATTAAAAAAAAAACTGGCTTCTAGCATTAAAAATTAATAATACATTTAAATGTCATACGATTGATTGGGTTATTAAGTAACTTATAGTAAACAATGATGGTGTATAAACTGTATGCTCATATTGATCAAGATCTCCAGAAGCAATAATTTTATCTTGTATTTCATGCAAAACTACAAAATCTGCCAATTTGAAAATAGTCTCATTTTGAGATCTTGTCATTTAACATTTCGATATGAGCCAAGGCTTTACCCAAATAAAGATATTTTGCTACAAAATGTCTTAGCAATATAGAATAATGACATTTTTATTATTGATACTGACTTTATCAGCAAGAATATCAAGTGAGCCCACAAGGGTAAGCTGATATTAGAGCTGATCATGGAAGTAAAATTCAATATGTTTTTGACATCATAGTGACAGTTGACTTCTCTGAATAGAATTGTACAGATAATACACCTGACTAATTTACCAGTAGAATAATTATAATTTTGAAAGTACTAATTACTAATTTTGCAATTTCAGGGGCCAAATAATATACGGTACTAACTCTTTTTTCCTTTATAATTCATTATGATTAGTACTTCTCTTGACTATTGTCTTTATATTAAACAATATCTTATGCTTTATCATTAAGTGCCAATCTGCCTAAGAATCAGGCAGTGGTGAAAACGTGACAAACAAAAACCCACTCAACTATACATCAAAAAAGTTCAGAATGTATAATGGTGCAGGAATATAACATCTATTTCCTTTTCCAGTTCTGGTATTTCTAGATATAATTTGATTGAAATGCTCTAGAGATTAACAATTAGTACTTTGCTATCATTCTAACCAAAAATTATTTTGATATTTTTTGAATTAACAGACACTCAGAAACAAAAGACCAGCTACCATTTCTTACTCAGGATGAGGGTAACTTCAAAATAGGATGGGATTTGTCTGGTGGTTTTTTCGGCCATGTTTTGAAATTCTTCTAAATTGCCTGATTCTTACAAAGACTGGCACTTAAAATGTTACACAATTCAAAAATTACCGTAATAAATAACATATAAAATTATACACAAAATTAAGAATAAAAGATATTTGAATGGAGTAAATTTTTCAAATATGCAAAGTACTAAAGAATTCTAAAATACAATGAGAAGTAACTAGTACATTTTCAGTATTATATGAAACCCTGTTCAGTCTCTGAAAATGAAAATTCATATGCTACCATTATTTATAATATTTTATTTTAACTTCTAAATAAAGGCGTCAAGAAAATATAAAAATATCAATTATTACTTAAGCCAGTCTGACTGTGCTGTCATTCAAGTTATGTCATAATGGTAATTTGCCAGCTTGTAGCAGACAGACTATTTCAGGATCATCTTGGCTGAATGACAAACATAGAACACATGTGTCACCCAAATTTTTTTGGCCAGGAATTGGATAAATAATTACAAAATATGTACTAGTTTTCTGCTCTTTGGTCTGGTTGTTGTCTCTTTGACACATTCCCTGTTTCCATTCTCAATTTTATTATGATAGGGTTTGGCTTTAAGTTAAATCTTTGCTTAGTGACAAGCATTCAAGATTTTTACCAAAAAATGTAATTTTATTGCTGTATAAATCATGCATAAAGATGAGAAATTTTTTAAAACAAAAACAGCAACTGTTTGATGAAATACATATATTCACCATTTGATTTTGCAAATTGAAACAAGTTTGAAATATTTTGATTTTAGGGCTTTGTTGGAGCTAAATTGTCCTAGCTTCTCTGATTTTTTATTCAGAAAAGTGCTATTATATATATTTCCATAAGGATGTTACCCAGTTAGCATATCATAAGATACCCACATATATTTCAATCTTTAATTGATAATATTTCATTTTACACAAATATGTGGTATTTTTTAGGTATCTCACAGAAAATAAGAGCCTTAACAGCTGCTGGCATATTTTTTAAAAATGTTTTTTGTTAGCATTATGAAACATGCAATTCAATAATTATGTCAAAATTTAATGCACAAACAAAATAAACAAAACACTTCAGTGCTCAGTGCTTCTGTTTTCAATATATTTAAATGTTTCTGAGAGCAGTATAATTAAGTTAATATCCTGTTATTCTCATCAAAATTTCTAACTATAATTAGTAAAATGCAAATTTTCATAAAAGTTCAATTGTTTCTAATGTAATTGACAAATAAAATGCACATTTGAGATTACCAATATGTTATCAAATGTCGGTCTACAAATTAAAGTTAGCTAAGCTTAATCGAAATTTTTAATTTAAACAAGGATTCTGAATTTGCACAAGTAACTAGGCTACCACAAGTCAATACATAGAAAACTTAGATACAGTGAGCAACTTTGGTTTTCTGAGAACAAATATTTTGATTAACTTACATTTTGCCATGCATTTGAACAATTAGACATTTTCAGTTTAGCAGAATTAATAAAGCAGTACCCAGTATATAAGATGATGTCTGCATAAAAATTAAAATTAACAAGAGGTGTTTGGCATCACTGTATTGTTACATTGCTGTCTTATCAATGATATAGCAACATCTGCTTTTTTAATCACATTAATTCATTGAAAAATGCCATTAAATCCAAAGCACAAGTAAACAAAGTCTGTTCAAAAAATATTGATATTTATTATCCATTTGAAATGTTTACAGATCCAATCATGATTTTTTTTTTATACTGTTATTGAATATCTATGTCTTAGCTGACAAGCCATGTTCCACTTGTCCCTAAGCAACATACATCCTTGATTCAGAAATCACTGAATATATCTTATTTATAACCAAATTTTTACTTGCAATGATCAACAAAATGGATACAACTAGTAATGCAGGAACTGCTTATCCTTCTAAGCATTGAGTTCACTCCTGGAATGTGTTGGTTCATGTGGATCAATCTTGAGTTTTTTTGGTATGGTTTTGTGGAAGTTCGTCTTTTTGTCATTTAACTTTTTGCCACAATGTTGGTCAGTATCTTAAATTTCTCCCCCAATTCAACCAATGCAAATTCTTCTACACTTCTTTGAATATCTACAATAACCTATATAACATAATTAACTCTAAAATTTAGTGCTGGATGATTTAATACATAGGACAAAATTTTTGATAAGGTGTGACTATTTCCTGATCAGGAGACTTCTCTTAGTTACATGTATTTAATCAATTACTAAAAACTAGATTCAGTAAAGGAAACGAGACATTTAGCCACAAGATCATTAAATATGATGTTCCTTTTCAGGAGAACTAAAATATTCTGAACATTTTCAGACATTTGATATGAGTAAAGTACTGTAAATTCAGAAAAAAATTTCTGAATTAACAGTATTGCCAAAGAAAAAATTTATCATTTCATCTTTTCTTAATGTTAAAATTGTGGTTATTTTTTTCTTTTTATAAATTTTTCATAATAACTTTTTAACTTTTTTTTAAGTCTGAGCATTAATTTTGATATCACTTGTGATTTTTCAGTTCAGTTGTACTCAGAGAATCTTTTTCAGTCTTTCCATTTTAAACTTTTTATGTTTTCCTATATATCTTGTGAGAGGAAACTGAAGAGACATAAACAGATAGTTGCACTCTTCCAAATCCTAAGAACTGTAAAGAAGACATCAAACATGTCAACTTAAATCTATTTAATTCCTTATGTGACAAAACAAAGTATATTAATTCTACGTTATATGTTTCAGGACACTGACACAAACTTGATGAACGGCAGAGACAAATCGTTAAAAGCTTTCAAGTGAGATAATTATCCAGCTCGGATGCTTTTTTTCCAATTTGAGGTGACATAATTTGAACTGTGTAACAAAACCATTTAATATACATTTAGTTGTGACAGATGCCGTAGGAAATCTATTATTTCCTGTTCATCCCTGCAGACATTCAGATGAGGAAAATTATGGAACTACAATACTGACAGTGCCAATTTACAATTTAACTAGTCCAAATAACGAAAATGGTAGTCTTCTATTTAAATCTACAAGACATCAACACAAAACAATCCAACTTCCATTTCAATCTCTGGCGACTCTACAGGATGATTCATCAGCTGAAGTAATTAAAGAAAAGAAAATGTGATAATTGAACTATTTAAGGAAACATGCATTTATCCCAAAGAGAGCTCATAAAAAGGAGATTTATTATATTTTTGCTGCTTGGAGTGAAATTATTCACTGGTATTGAAAGTAGAATGGATTGGAATGTGGAATGTCCTTTGAAATGTGCTTGCTATATCGGAAGATTAGATACAGAAAATTTCAAACAAGTCATGAAAATTGTCAACTGTACAAAGGCTGGACTTTCTTTAATACCACAAAACTTGTCTTCTTCCACCGAAGCTTTAATTGTGTCAAGTAACTCAATAAAAGATCTTGATCTTCCACCTAGGATGAGACAGTTGAAATATTTAGATGTGTCGAACAATAAGGTTACAAGTTTTGACAAACAAATACAAAAACTGATTCAACTGAGAAATCTTAATCTACATAGTAATTTTATCACTTCTCTAAGAAATGGACAATTTTCAGGCTTGAAGTATTTAATAAACTTAGATTTATCCAAAAACAAATTACGTTACATCGAGAAACATGCATTTGGAGGATTAAACTACGTTCAACGTCTGAATTTAGAAGATAACAACTTGAATATACTTGAAAATCAATGGTTTGTTGGGATGCCATCTTTAAAATGGTTATATTTGTCAAGGAATGTTTTGAGAGAATTGAAGAATGGTGTATTTGATACATCAAATCATCTCGATACTATCAGTTTTAAGGAAAATAAAATACGGAATATTGAGAATAATGCTTTCTTTGGGCTAGAACAACTTGCTACACTGGATCTTTCTAACAACAATATATTATCTATTCCATCAAAATCATTTCTCAAGCTTCCAAATTTAAAGAAACTGAATTTTGATGGCAATCCAATTTACAGACTAGTACGGGAAACATTTTGTAATCTTAACGTTTCTGTACTTTCACTAAGTTACATGCCACACCTTTCAGTTATTGAGGAAGGTGCGTTTGTCAACTTAAAAAAACTCATATCACTTCAAATTCATGACAATCAGAAACTTGTGTTCATTGATCCAAATGCATTTGACAACATTCCAAGTCTTCGAAATTTATATATTCACAATAACCGCTTGCGTGTGCTTCCTCACAAAATTATTCAAAGTCTGCCATCAATTAAAGTTTGTCATTTTTACAGCAATCTTTTGCATTGTGACTGTAACATTGACTGGATGGTCAACGACATCTTGTCTAAAAATCACACATCAATCATGTACGATGGGGCCATGTTAATTTGTTACACTCCTCCTAGCAGGTATGGACTGCCGATTGTCAGTCTTCCACAAACAAATGAAACCCAAAACTGTGTTCCAATGACAATTCCTATCTACGATAAAAATTATGAAATGAGTATTGGTGAAGAATTACGACTTGAATGTCATGCGACCGGTGTTCCTGAACCAAATATAACTTGGATGTTACCCAATGGATCAATGTTGTCTCAGAGCATTAAATACAATAGAATTGAAGTGAAAGATAAGTTTATATTAATCGTAAGACATTTACAAAAGTCTGACAGCGGTTTGTATGCATGTCAGGCTGCGAACAGTGAAGGTTTCGATATAAGTGAAACATTGGTCAAAGTAATCAATAAGCCTATAAGAATAATTGCATTACCATCAACCTTAAATTACATTACAATTACGTGGAATGGCACAAAATACTGGTCTATGATTTCCGATTATCAAATACATTACAGAGAAGCTAAGAGTAGAGTTAATTATAGGATTGTTCATCTAAGCCCGTATTCAAGACGATATACATTTTCTAATTTAAAATCCTATACGAGTTATGAATTTTGTATTGTCTATGTCTATTCTACCGAAATGTATCCAGTGGATTGTATCAATGCAACGTCTGGAAAGGCATTAGATTATCTTCCAGGAATTACGTCTGTCAATACTAAAGCAGTGGCTGCTGTAATAACAATAGTTGTTATGATTTTTATATTAGCATGTGCAATAATGGTTGTAAGAAAATTTAAGAAACGGAAGAGCTACAGTAGCACTACTGATGAAGAAGACACATTTGTTACGACACAAATTCCATTAGAAAATGTCTACCAGCCCAATACCTATATGTGTTCTTCAAAAACTTCCTTAATTAGAGCTCAAGAACAATAAAGCAGCTTAAATGATTGAAGTTATTCTTAATTTAAATTTTCATTACAGTCATACCTGAATTTACCATTGGAATGAATGAAAGTTGATGATATAATTAAGAGAGATCACATTAATTTCCATGTAATTATATATGTGTCAATTCAGTCTTTATTTGTTCATCAGCAACTTAAAATAATAACTCCTTTTTAAGAGGAAAATTATTTCAATGAAGCAGACTTTAGAGAATCTTTAGGAACTAAAAGAAATGTTCACTCCTTTTATTTCATTTTGTGCTTCAGATGACTTTTGAAGGTCTAAAATAAGCAAAATATGAGACTTTGCTATATTTATACGACTAATGACTTCAATGGGGAATGAATCTGTGAGCTAGAATGGTTTTTAACTTGGTTGATCTTCTAAAAGAGGGGATAAATAAGGCAAGATTGGATGTATTTATTTTTGTTTTATTTGCATAATATTTGAAAAATCAAAAATCATTTCATTGTTTCATTTTTTAATGTAAAAAAAAAAAGTAAATCAAAAGTGGTCAGTATTGAAAATATCTATATATAGGGCATCAAAATTGAATTGTACAGTCATGATAAAATAACTTGCACATGTTTTTGTTGTTATAATTAAAGTCAACTGAAAAAAATATGATTAAATCATCATAACCAGATTACAAGGAAAACACATTTGGAATACAAATGTACTATCTACATATTCAACAGTTAAATACTTATTTTTCTTTCATATTTTTTTCATAGAAATATATTTTAAGCATTAAGAAAATTGTTTTGTTTTATAACTTCACAAGTAGAAAATGAAGTTAAGAACTGCTACTAGATTTAAATGTTAAACCTTTGTTGTATTGATAGTACATTTCTAGTCTGTTATGAATAAAGATCAAAGTAAAAAAAAATATGTGTGCTTCAAAAATACACAAGAAGAAAAATTAATGTAAATACATTGAAATAAGGTAAAAAAAATTAGGTTATGTTTTTCTAATTTTAGTTGAAACCAATATCATCTTTGCTTTAAGGGGGTAAATCTGGGCTAAAGGAGATAACTCTATGAATCAAAAATGTGTTTGTAATAGTCAGTGTTTCAACAATGCTTTTTAAACATTCATGTGAAACAGAATCAAAATAATCTATGCTACTTTAAAGCTTACAATATATTGATGAAACTGGTTGACAAAATCAACAATGAAAAAACCCTTACTGTATAGTATGTCAGCTATAAAAGGCCAGTATTTCTATTCTATTACAGGTTCTGACAAGAATGGTATATGCATGTGGACATATTGTAACTTATGATAGAAGTATTTGGATTCCATCAAATAAAATCAATTCTTTATATAACAAAACTTAATTGTCTGGGATTTGACATGACAATTTAAAATGTCCATTTTTTGTTCTGTTCAACTTTGTTACTAGCATATTGACCAAGATACCTTTTAAATATACAAGGGATGATGTATAAATTCTTAATATTTTTCCAGAACTGTGATGAACTAAAAGCAAAAGTATAGATGTACTGGTATGTACATATTAAACATTCTTTCTTAAACTGATGTGTTAATATAATTTCAATTTTTGTTCACTAAAAAACAGTGGTAATTCATGGAATAAATTAGTATTACCAGTTCCCTTATGTTCACTTTGCCCATCTTCCATGTCTACTATTGATGGTTTTACAGAAAAATCAAAATTGTTATAACTAAATCTAGTCAAAAGCTCTTCAAGGTACAATTGTATATATTTTACACACATGCTCTGCATTGTTATTTTATAATCATTGTGTAAATAAAATTTATGTGCTATAATGAAATTATCATTTTGTACAATTTATTGTCTATTTCTTTTATTGTAGTGGAAGAATTATTTTACATTATAAAGTTTCAATGGACAGCTACTACTTTCAAGCATTCCATACAATAATTATTTTTGACCATCTGCTTATAGGATCTGAGAAACATGAATAAACAAAAACTTAACATTAAACCATGATCCTTGAATATGAGGTCAAGGTCAGATGAACACTGTCACACAGATCATTCTATACACCAAATTTAGTTGACCTACTACTTATAGTAACTAAGAAATGAACCTTAATCACAACACCTTAACACTGACCAACAAACCATGTGAAAATGTAGTCAAGCTAGGTTAGTCTAATAGATGAACCCTGCCAAAAGGTCATGTACACCTTACAATCATTCCATACACCAAGTCTAGCTGATCTACTGCTTATAGTATTTGAGAAACAGACCTCATCATACAAACTTATTGTTGACCACTGATCCATGAAATGCAGTTGAAGTCAAGTGAACCATGTCAGACGGAACTGTAGACCTTGCAATGATGCTATATATATCAAATAACATTGACCTATCACTCATACTAAGTAAGAAATTGTTTACATTCAAGTAGGACAATAAAACTATTTATGTATCTGTATTACAAGCAAACATCCTTTACTTCACACCATTTGCGCAACAAAATCTGATATACACCATGTTTACTTCACACCTGATTTACTCTCATTTCCTTTGTAAGACATCTACTTTGTTGTCCTAAATAAACATGAAATGCTTGACATCGGACATTAATCAAACAACAAACAATCAATCAATCACCACTGATGTGCCCCATCCAGGTATACATCTTATCTACTGCACAGCTTATTTACTATCATCCACTTTACACATAATCCGATATCAAGTAATTAAATGGTATTATTCCACTGTTTAAACATATTGATAGTTTAATCAATATTTGATTGGTTGAGACTATCCCACGTGTCATTGAACAAATCTTCATATTCCATTCTGAGGATCATATTCCCCTCTGAAATGTCGGGATTACTTCGTGCGACGTTACGCGCGGTTAATGTACATAACGTTTTGAACTTCTTATTCTTCTTAAAATAGCGATAGCAAAAATCATTATCATGTTCAAATTTATTTCAGACGATAAAACAAAAAGACTTATAATTAAATTTTGATCCTTACTGTTTATCAATGGGTATGTCGTGTTTAGTTTGACTTACAAAAACAAGCGGATAAGAAAAAAAAACTTATGCAAAATAATATTTAATGTATTGATAGTAAACAAAGCATAGGCAGTGGAATAAAACATTCATTTCCCTTTGCCTCGGAGATATGAAGATTTGCTCACCCTCGAAAAATCATATTTCCCTCGGGCAGAGCCCTCGTGAAATATGAATATTCTTGGGTGAACAAATCTTCATATCTCCCTCCGGCACGGGAATTAAATGTATATTGTCCCCCTCAAATCCTATGTACAACATATTTAATTTTCACATTTAATCTTATCATATGTTAGAAATAATATAAATATAAGAAGATGTGGTTTGATCGCCAATGAGACAACCCTCTACCAACATGACCAGAGACCAAATGATGTAGAAGTAAGCAACTATAGGTCTTCAACAATGAGCAAAGCCCATACTCCACAGCAAGCTATAAAAGGCCTCGATATAATAAATGTAAAACCAGTCAAAGAAGAAATTTAACTAACAGCCTGATTTATGTACAAAACAATAAGCGAAAAACAAATATGATATACAGCAACAAATGATAATCACTGAAATACAGGCGTCTGACTTGGGACAGGCACTTAAAGACTGTTGGGGGTTAAGCTTATTACACAACATTCATGATAAATGGTTTCTTTCGAGCCACATGGGGGCTTGGTGTCTAAATGGTCATCTTGAGTGATCACTATCCTGTTAACCCTCAGGCTGTGAGTTTGAAACCCTGCTAAATAAAAGTGGTCCCCAATCTTAATTGACTATGATTGCCAGTTTTTCTACAGAAGATCAGTGGTTCTGAACAGACACTCTGGATTCCTCCACCAATAAAACTGGCAGCCATGATATAGTTAAAGGGTGCTGAAAGTCGTGTTAAAACACCAATGGTCAATCAATCCAGCTGTATATGTTTTAAGGATGTACACCTCTGAGGAGCCAAAAATTTCTAGAATTAAACTTTTTTTCTTAACCTGATTTTTCAGTTTTTATGACTATAAAAAAAATAATAGATGAAGAAAAAATCATATGGTGGTGCACTTCTTCTTTTGCTACAGCCATTTGAAAGTATCCAATTTTGATGATTTTCCCATTTTTCATCAATTTTTACCCGTTTTTAGGCTATTATCATGAAAAAAAAACACAGTTTCACAATTAAACTTTTTTTCATACTTTCACTAAAGATGAAGTGGACCAATCTGAATAAATTTAACTTAAAAAAACTATGGGTAGGTGTTAATATAAGAAAGTTTTATAAAATATTGTTGCTTTTTCGTGTCAAATTAAAATACCATGTTGTCAATTTTGTAAATTTGGGATTTTTCTCTTTTTTTAGAACAAAAAGCATATTATTTCAACTTCTTTGTTATAAATGATTGAAAAAATACATATCTAAGAAATTTAAAAAGAAAATAAATGGGGAATGTGTCCATGGGACACAGATGATGCCCCCGCTTGCATATCTAATAAGGTTATAAATTAGGGATATAACTGAAGAACAGTAAAAGTGATACTACCCTAATTTGTACTTGATCTGAGTTTTGTGGTAATAAGCATCGTGTATAAGTTTCATAACATTTGATTGAGGCAAACTAAAGTGAGAGAACAGAAACGAAAAAATTCAGCAATTTTTATGCTTATAAAGGGGCATAACTCAAGAACAGTAAAAGTGACGCCACCCAATTTCAAACTTGATCTGTATTATGTGGTAATAAGCATTGTGTATAAGTGTCATAATATTTGGTTGAGGCAATCTAAAGTTAGAGAACGGAAACGAAAAATTCAGCCAATTTTTATGTTTATAAAGAGGCATAACTCAAGAACGGTAAAAGTGATACTACTACCCAATTTCAAACTTGATCTGTATTATGTGGTAATAAGCATTGTGTATAAGTTTCATAACATTTGGTTGAGGCTAACTAAGTTCGAGAACGGAAACCAAAAATTCAGCAATTTTTATGTTTATAAAGGGGCATAACTCAAGAACGGTATAAGTGACGCCACCCATTTTCAAACTCGATCTGTATTTGTGGTAATAAGCATTGTGTATAAGTTTTTACATAACATTTGGTTGAGGCAAACTAAAGTTAGAGAATGGAAACCAGCTTTGGGACATACGTACGGATGTACAAAAGGACAAGGGTAAAACTTAATGCCCCCTCCGCTGCGGCGGGGGCATAAAAATTGATATGGGATGTACATGTATCTGGTAAAATCATTTCTTGTACCCCTCACCCATTTTCTCAACATTCTGGCTAATGAGACTGACTTGATTGGTTATAAAATTTGAAAATTTAATTACTCAAAACTACTTATTGTAAATACACAATTTTTTCACAGAGTTAAGTTTGATTATAATATTTTTTAAATTCATTGATATTTTCCACTTGTATCACATGTTTCAGAAATAATTCGAGAACGAGATTTCAACGAGACTGAAACGTCAGAAGAATACATCCTTAAAATATATTGACTGTTGGGATGCATTTAGTTTAATTCTGATATGTTCTAAGTATTGGAGAAAATTTAAGGGCACTCAGTTCCTCATATAGTCGACAAAGACAAAATCAATGTGCAGGTTGGTAAGAGTAAGCATATAACATCTTCAAAAAGGCTTTCATATCTTGAAACAATGATGGTGGTAGCAGGAAGGAGTCTTTGAATATATTTTTATTCATTTGTTTCTTGTACTGTCTTGGTAACTTTCTGTTTTATTCCAAAAATGATTCTACTGCGGTAATCCATAAAAGTTGAATTGATGATAAATAGAAGCTTGGTGTAAGATTAACAAAAGAAAGATAACTCTAAAGAGTCATAATCCTAAAGTGCAAATATCTACACAGTACGACAGAACATTAAATACATTCAGGAAATGATTACTCACAAACAAAATGTGAAGCCTGCATAAATCTGACAAGCAAAGGAGGACAAAAGACTTAGGTATGACAAGGCCAATTTTTAGCCCCTTGAATTCAAAAATTAAAAAGTTTCATAATTCTTCCAAATAACTTCCTTCAGATGTCCACAAGACATTATGTGTCAGATACCAGCATTTATATTATTTAATTTTGTCTTGTATATCTGTATTAGGGCTTCAAACTTCTTGACTTTAGTGCAAAACTGCATAAACTTCCAAAATAGCCTCATTTTGATATCTTGTCATTAAAATTCAGATATGAGCAACAGCTTTACCCAAAAAGATATTTTGTTACAAGATGTATTTTACAAAGATGTTAAGGTGTGTAAGGCTGTCGCTCAAGTATATTTTGTCCAAAAACTATGTGAAAAATGGTAATTTTTCTTCAAATATGTAAATTTCAACATGTTTATAACATTAAAGTGACATCAAAAGTCTTTCTGCACTAAAGTGTCCATATTATATTAAAATGTAAATTTATCAATAAAATCAACACAATTTATAAACATGATAAAGGCATGAGTAATTTTTACTTATTTTGCAATTTTATGGGCCAAATACTGGCTCTTATCATGCCTATAAATAAAATACATTTCAAAATTTCAAGGATTTGCTGATATAACAAGTGAAACTGTGAGCTACTACTCACTGATGATACCCCACCGCAAGTGGATAATTTTAATAGTGTAAAAATATGTAAGTGTTAGGTAAAGAGGAAGTTGTTGAGTGATGAATCTGAAAACAAATCACACAGTATAGCTGACTTATATAAACCCTGAAACCAAATTTCAGAAATCCTTGTAATGTAGTTCCTGCGAAAAATGTGACAAAAATTTTCGACTTGGATGTCATGTGTAAAATGATGTAAGTGTTCCGTAAACAGGAAGTTGTTGAGTGATGAATCTGAAAAAGCATCACACGGTATAACTGACTTAAATAAACCCTGAAACCAAATTTCAGAAATCCTTATGATGTAGTTCCTGAGAAAGATGCGACGAAAAATATTCATGGGACGGACTGACAGACGGAAGGATGTAAGGACAGACAGAGGTAAAACAATATACCCCCACTTTTTTACAGCGGGGTATAAAAATCTTATATAGGATATTCAATGACAGAATTAATCACTGCTATATTCAGGATAATAATACATGTATCAGTTAATTTGAATTGTACCAAATTAACACACTGAGTCAGAATTTTAACATAAAATCTCCCAAGGTAAGTAACACATTAATCTGACCTTGTGCTGACCAGTAATACTCTTATTCCTAAAATGCTTCATGCATTGCTTAACTATATCACAGTTTTAAATAAAACCTGTAAGGGTTTAGTGAAGTATATTGATTCAACTTTAATTCTGTGAATTAATGAAATTTGAAATACATTTTATTTTAGGCCAATCAGACACAAGTCATAACTTTTTCAATTATCTCTTAGAATATTGAACTGAGAGAAAAAAAATGTTATAGACATGTACTGAAAGATCAAATTTAATTTGCAAATTGAAAACAATTGATCCATAGTCAACTTTACTATATAGTAAACAAATTCACACCTTTTTCAAACAGACCATTGTTGTTTACAAGTATCTGTAACCAGTAAATCACACTATGTAGATATAAGAAGATGTGGTATGAGTGCCAATGAGACAACTCTCCATCCAAGTCAAAATTTATAAAAGTAAACCATTATAGGTCACAGTACGGTCTTCAACACGGAGCCTTGGCTCACACCGAACAGTAAGCTATAAAGGGCCCCAAAAAATTACTAGTGTAAAACCATTCAAACGGGAAAACCAACGGTCTAATCTATATAAAAAACGAGAAACGAGAAACACTTATGAACCACATCAACAAACGACAACTACTGAACATCAGATTCCTGACTTAGGATAGGTGCAAACAAATGCAGCGGGTTTAAACGTTTTAATGGTACCAAACCTTCACCCTTTTTCTGAAACAATAGTGTAACATCACAATATAGAAAGACATACTATAAAATATCAACTGAAATAGCTTAACTCAATCAAAGGACATATTAACACCACTGAACATACACTGAACAAATAAATTTGACCTGTGACACAATGTAAATACAAAATAAATAATTTAAGGGAAGAATAATAAAAGTAACATGTTATATCGGTAAGAAATGTTAAACAATTAAAGAAAAACAATATGCTCGAACAAAAATATCATCCATTTGCAATAACTTTAAACACAGGTAAATGAAAATAATTTTGTTGTTAGGTATACGTGTACAGTACCAATAGAGAAAGGAAATGTACATGTATATTCATCACATTTAGCTAATAATACTGTGAATTCAGAAATCATTTCAATGTTTTTATTAATGCTAAAATGCAACAGTATCAGATTCAGAATAATATAAACCTGCATTTATAAATAGATAATTTTTCTTTGTAAATATTTTGCAGTACCATTGATTACATTTTTAAATAATAAATTCACACATTAATTTCTGATTTAACAGTATATGAAACTTTCTTTCCAAAATATAAAAAAAATATCTGGATTGTATAATCCAAACTTTGAAAAGTTATATTTCAAGAACTCTCAATGCTTGTTGACCACTGAATCAGATCATTCAGTATCTATCCTCAACTTTAAATCAGCTAAAAAACAAATTTTTGTAGCATGCACAATTAGTCAGATTAATATTTCAACTTTTAACACCTGAATGTTATAATTTCTACAAAAAATACATGATGTCAAATGAAACAAGTGAATCTGTGAGCTACTGCTCACTAATGATACCCCCACCCCCTAAAAGTATAAGGTAAACAGGAAGTTGTTGAGTGATGAATCTGAAAACGCATCACATGATATAGCTGACTCATATAAACCCTGAAACCAAATTTCAGAAATCCTTGTAATGTAGTTATTGAGATAAATGTGACGAAAAATATTTATGGGACGGACGGATGATCTGATGGACTGACAGATGCACAGACAGAGGTAAAACAGTAACCTCCCACTTTTTTAAAGCGGGGGTATACTAATATTATATTGTTCTGGAAGATAATAAAGAACATGACATTGTACAAGACTAAAACTACAAGGATTGCATATTCATTCTATTCCTTAATCCACACAGATATCAAAAAGCATCCATACTTACAACAATGCTACAATTTCTCCTCTTTCCAGCTCAAAATGTCTTACTTTCCATTTGTTAAGGAACACATAATCTGTCTTTCTGTCTGGATTTAATGTTGGCTACAATTGTTTTGTATATTATATATATAATTAAAACATTAATTCAAACTGAATATCATGAAAGGGAAATTTTCATTTAAAAAAATTTAAATAAAATGTTTTCCAGGTAAAATTGAGCAATGTCCATGGTGATTTAAAAGCTTCTTTGGAGTAAACTAAATGTGATTGCTTTTAATTGTTTGAAGAATGATATTTTTGTTTTCCGTTACTGTTTTAACATAGTGTTTTCTTATTTGATTTTTTCTCATATCCTACCTGCATGGAAACGCCCATAACCTGAGCAATATATCCAAAAGTATCTAGAAAAGTCACAGCAACTGGTAACCCTACTGCTGCAGACATGGCGGAGGATGCTAATACTTTGTACCACATCATCTGTTTAGCCAAATTCCATTTTCAACACAAATGGCATGAGTTCCTATCAAATAAATAAAAAAGATAAATAATAAACTGCTGACAAATAAAACTGAATATCAAATACTATTGACCTATCATTATGAGTGGTTCCCTTTAATCTGACCTAAACTGTTTTTAATACAACACACTTTAACATGTAAATTATGCAAAAGTTACAAGGGAGGTTGTGGCCATATAATCTCCATTGAAATGGGATGTGCCAATGCTTATACAACTGCATATGAAATATCATTGACCTACCACTACTGATTCATCTTAAACTGACCAATTATCACAAACTTTAACATGTAAACTAAGCAAATGTTTCAAAGTCAATGGATCATGACTGGGGGCACAGGGTCAAATAATCTCAATGGAACTGAGATGTGTTAATGGTACTACTGCATATGAATTATCATTGACCTACCACTAGTGGCTCCCCTTAAACTGACCTATAATGTAATCACAAAATAATTCGTTGTTGGAGCAACCAGAAACAGCAGACCTTAGTAATATTACTTTTCAACTTCCACAATATGAAACAAAAACAAAAGAAAGACTTATATGTACAAAATAAATTTTGTTTTTAATGTAGTTCATTGTACTATGTCTGAAAATTACAGTGGCAGTGCAATAGAACCATAGTACTAAAAGGGGCTATTCAAAAGGCTGAAGTATGGTTTCTTTGTGTTCTAAGAACATTTGGCACAGTTATTATAATCTTCATGAACATGCTAATTTAAACTTTTTATTATTCTTTGCTATACAAAATATTTAATTTATAAATTGTCGCTACAACTGATGGAACAAAATCAACAACCTTTCACATGTTTACTGATTTACAACAAACCCATCCCCATCCCATGTTTCACTTGAATAACAAGAATGGATATGCAGAAATGTCAAACCAGTGTAACTGATGATGCCTGATTATTTGCTGAAAGTATGTGAGGTCAAGGCCAAACTTCAAATTACTTGACACTGAAACTAAATATTATTTTGCTCAGAATAAAACTGAAATCTTCTCAAAAATTGAATGAGAGTTAGTCATACAAAAAAAATAATTTTCAAGCTGATCAATCTATATCCAACACATTTTGATATTATTTTACTGATCATGATGATCTAAATAATCTGAAGAAAATATAAAGAGACAATAAGATGTAATAAATTTTAGAAACTGCAATTTTATGAAAAATATGAAAAGTCTGGTGCTTCTTGTCAGATGGCCATATTTATTCCACAATGATAGATATTTATGGTTTTCTCGACATTCGTTGCAAATATTTCATACCTATTAAGGATAACATGTTTCTATATCATAAATGTAATATCAAATGAATATAATCCTGTTTTGTACTACAGATACATTTTGCTCATTGTTGAAGGCAGTATGTTTACCTGTAATTGTTCAAATCTTTGCCCTTAGGTCTTTATAGATAGTTGTCAAAATGGCAATCATACTACATCTTTAAATATCATATTTGTATATTAATGTCATAAAAAATTGCTGGAAATACTTAAATACTGACCACTTTCTTTTCTACAAGGTTGGAGGGGTACTGTTATCTTATGTTTAGTCTGGGACTAATAAAATGAAGGGACTTGCAACTTCTAGAATATTATGGATTAATCTGATGTATTTATTTAAAAGAAAAGATGAAAATAAAAATATATATAAATAAAAGAATGCAAACCTATTCTTTTTTACTTGTAAAATCAATGTCATATTGATCTGTAATAATCAATAATTGGGTGACTATTATCAGTGATTAACTTTAGAGAATAAACAAAATTGTATTTAAAACTTGTTTTATTAAATGGTCTAAACTCATCAAGATGTAATCAAATGTATATATAAGTTTATTTCTTTTAAACAGTACATGGTGTTTGCAGATATAGTTTTTATACAGGAAATGTATGATTTTAATAAAAATAAAAATATCATTCTATTTAAAAAAAAACTAATACACATAAGGGTATTTGGAAAAATGCATTTCAATTTTCAATGCATTTTTGGGGGGAAAGTATAATACAAATATTTTAACATCCTATGAAAAGTCCCTTTCCAACCATATTAAAATTATAAATTATCAGGAAAAGAGAAAAGGTAAAAGAATGCATTTGGGGGGGGGGGGGGGAGTATAAAACAAAAATTTAACAAATAATTACACCATCCTATCAAAAAGTCCCTTTCCAACCATATTAAAATTATTTAATGATAAATTATCAGAAAAAAGAGAAAAGGTGAAAGATTTACATTCTAAAATTGAAATATTTGAATATTTTGTTTGGAAAATGACAAATTCTCCAACTTTGGTCACAAGAATAACAATTTAATAATGGGATTAATCATTATGGAAATGAAAATTAGATCTGACCATGCACCCTACAATCATGATCTTCATATGTCATTTATTTTCAATCAATATTTATAGTCAATCCTAAGAGGACTTCAAAATACATGAAATATATGTATATGCATGTCCCCTATTTATTTATTTATTTAAATAGTTACCATATTTTTTATCTAAATTTATAAACTTTTAAATAGGTAAAACAATTTGCTTTACTTCATTCTATATTTGCTGCCAAATTTTTATTGCATGCTATGTGTGAGATTCAACTTTGTTTTGCAGGTTGTTTATATCTTAAAATAAAATTAAAATTGAGATTCAAATTCGGGAATGTATCAAAGAGACAACAATCCGACCAAAGAGCAGAAAACAGCACAAGGCCACCAATGGGTCTTCAACACTGTTTTTATGTTATGTATATGTTTTTATATTCGGTCAAAAGCTCCTTAGAGCTTGTGTTGTATATTTGACTTATGCTGAATCAAAATAAATTTTTCTTATCTTATCCCCTGATCTACTGGTCTGAGGTTAATTGAGACAATTTTTCATAGCAAGTGCAAATAAATAAAGATAAAATGTGAGGGTATAAAAGTTGCAAAAAATCATTTTCACTTCTTTAGACTATTTATTCCATTAATTTTTGGTGGTGTTACAACTTGTTACTCCTCTCACTTATAAAATGGTTGGTGTCATCATTCATGTTTATATCACTTGTAAGTCATGATAATAGAGACAATAAAAACAAAATATAAACCATTTTGGGGATAATTTGTCAGTGCTTTTCAATATAATTGTCGGATAACAATCTATTTCAAATATTTATACATGCAGGTCAATGCATCCAGATTTATTATGTTTGATATTTGCACCTTTCTGTTTAACAAGGTAAACCAGTGACCCTGCAGTTTACAATATTTGGATCTACAGTAAGGGTCAACCACCTACATAAAAAGACGTCTTCATAATGTTTAATTTTTACATCGCCGCTCCCATTCTGCACCGTTTAACTCATATATTTTACCTTATCAACCGTTCAAATTATCCGGCTTACACTATTGTTACTACTGATTGGGCATTGGATCACATTCAACTGCGTCAGACAGAAGCTTGAAACTATTCCGGAAGCAGTGCCTGAAATTTTGCAAAAGTAGACTGTGGGTTTTGCATCTAAAAATATAAAAGAACAGCTGCGAACAAAAAGTGGTGCAACTTACAAATGAACTAAATGTCTGCCCTTCAATTAAAGGACGGATTTTATAAAATCGAATTAAATAAGACTATCTGGGAAGTTCCACAGCGATACCAACTGTTGTCCCCTGTAGGGGCTGGGGCCTACGGGCAAGTTTGGTATGTATCATCCCGATGCAAGTGTGGATATTTGTTTGCAATGAAATATGTGCATATGTTTGCAGATAATACATCCATTTGTCAGTCTGTTAACCCATTTGAAAATGAAATTAAACAATGAAAATCTGCTTCCTGTTTACTTGGTTTTCAAGGTTGCATAGTAGTCAACATCAATCAGCATACTGAAATAAAGGATCATACCAATCATACAACTGATGTTACGAAGCTGATCGAATGTAGAATGTTAATTTGACAGAATAAGAAAAGGCTGAACATTTCAAATTTGCATTTAAATAACTCATTCTTCTCAACTTTTCTAATTATCCATGGGGATTTTAGGCACAAGATGATCTATTTGCATGTCTTATGCATGCTGTATGTGTTTTTAATCAAATATTTTTGTGGTTGTGAATGATGAAATTTGTTCTTAAATGTATTTTTAACTCATTTTAATTCCTAATTTAAAGTTTTAGTAAGAATGGGGGATTTCAACTGTCAGGTGACTCAGGTCACATTTCAGCCCTATGGGAAATCCCTCACATTCAGGAAAGTTAGCAAAGTTTCAAAAATTTCAGACAAGAATGTACATGTGAACTTATTTATATGAAATAATCCCAGAATTTTTCTGAACTTATAACCAGGATGATGTGCTGTCAGTAGAAAATTCTTTTAAGAGAAACTGTAGAATGTGCTTTCTATTAACCTTCCAAGTACTGGCCATGGATACATTTATTTCATTCATATTTCCTGAAGTATATACTGTTTAAAGTAGACATTCAAATATATAAACAATGAATGATTTTGGAAATTTATTTCATGAAGTGGTATTTCAAAATATTGCATGGGTATTTCCCCATAGATACAAGGCTTTGAAACTGGTTGGGTTTGGAGCTTTTGGATGTGTTTGGTATGTACATTGTATTTACACATGTAAGGCCTCAAAAGGAGCAATTGCTACAACAGGTTCAGTTTAACTGATGTTATTGAACAGTAAATTTGGTCTGGTAGTAAAATTTGTCTGCCTGACTTTTTTTCCTAGGTGATCAAGTCCATGACCATAGTTTTTACTACATGCAGGAATGTAAGTCCCAGGATAAAGTTTCCTTGGAAAATAAGCCCATAGCTAGTCTGGCACTTATTTTGCTAGGACTTGCTTTTCTAGTAAAATTATGATCACCTATGAATATTAATGACATGGACATGAATTCCTAGAAAAATAAGTCTGGGGACATGAATTTTATTAAAAGATTAATGCACAACTGTTAAACAATATTAAAACATAACCATTAAAAATTCCATTGTTTACATGTAAATGATTTTTTTCATTACTAGATTCCTAGTAAAATAAAGGACATGGACGTTTTTCCTAGTAATACTAATGACATGGACATGAATTCCTAGGAAAAAGTAGTCTCAGGACATGAATTACTGACATAGAACTAAAAATACTAGAAATATGTGTCTTCCAGGACACATTTTACCAGGACTAATTTATCTCTAACAGTTACAGTTTTGCACAGTGGTGTTACGATGATCGGAGTAAGTCGTAAATCAGTTGGTTGGGTAAAGCTATGTGGATAATCGATTGGGATTTTGTCAAATCTATTGTCGTTGTAGATTCTGGAATTTTAGCATATGAACTTCTGGTCTGTTTTTGATATTCCTTTTTTACCCTCGCGAGCCTCTTCCCGCCAAAATTATTCGGAACCTTTCTCACTTTATCCCGATTATCAAGGCAACACGATTAAGCAATATTGATTGAAAGAGGTAATCCGAAAACTGTAAACAAAAATGTCCAAACAACACGATTGCAGGGCACCAGTCTCATGATTGTATATTGAAGAATGCATTGTGTGTATAAAGTGGAAAAAGACGCCTAAACAAATGAACGATTTAATGAGGGAATGACAATGACATTTACACATAGATACCATGACGTTACACAAAGACAGCTCTAATGCATATAAGTACATGTATAATTCCCGCGGTATTATGATTGTCTCTACTTATCCTCAGAATTATGCATAAACATGTTTATGGATGACAGCTTACTAGTAAAAAAAAAGATATCCCTTCACCTGTACAGAGAGTTTCAGTCAAAATCTATTCGGTGTAATTAAACAGATATATCATGTTATGGTGGGGTATTTGCGAAAAATACAAGTCTTGGGAAATTTCACCGTCCCTTGACTGGTATTTTTGGCAAATACCCCTCCATAACATGATATATCTGTTCAAAATAACATTCCCTTCATCAAATGAAATATACTAAGAATATTTTGATATTAAATTTATTGATTTGATTCCAACTGCTTGAAGAAATCAATTTCAACAAGCTAAAAGCAGAAAGTCCTGTCATGTGTAACTAATAACTGTCTGAACGGTCTTAACTAAAAAAAATGGAAAGTCACAGACATTTGACACCCCTAATTCGAATCCCTAAATTAATTAAATTTATAAAATCTAATTCTTTAAAATATTTCTCATATTGATATCCTATCTACATGATTACAAGAAAATAAGTTGTTTTAAGTTAATGTAGACTGGAAAGTTTTCATATACTCATTCTACTCAGTACTGCTAATTTTGAACACTGATCATATTTTTGTACATCATTAAGATCAACACAATATTATTATCTCAATATACATGTATGCCCACACATGAACTAATGTATACCACACATTTGACATTTAAGCACAAAAGACAAACATTTTCAGACAGCTACATTTTTTGTACATGTACATGTATCACATTTATTTTCACTAACCATTTCCTTAATGTATACTAAATCCTCTAGACTGAAAGTAAAATATTTTATTCGCAACTTCAATTTTGCCTTACTGAATAAATTTAATAGACAGATTTCTGGAAAACGTGTACATGTACAGTGTATCATATATATACATTCAGACATTGATTTATCAAAATATTTTTTTTTTTAGATAACATACAGCACATATGTTATCTTAATAAAAAAAATATTTTGATAAATCAATATAATCAGAGTCATGAGGTCAGAAAAAGGGCAAACATAACTTTTTTTTTTAAATGTTTGTTCTGTGAATTGCAATTACTATTAAAGTTATATATATTAGTTAACAAATACAATGTCAATTACTTGTAAAGATGAAAACAAAATTCTAAAAGAAAAGATTATACTTGCTATATGTTTTCTGATTTTTTAACACAAACCTTCAAAATATGAGTAGATACCAATTTTTTAACAGCATAATCCGAGGAGTCGAGGACTCATAGTTTCTGAAGAGTAATGAGAACCCTGTATATTCATGGTATTCTACTTTACTGGTAAATTTTTGCACATTCATTATTGCATTATATAACTACCTCAAAATTAATCTTTGAAATGTTCAAACATGAATTATAAATTATGCATATTTTCCATGGCTAACATCAATCAGAATCTGAACGATTGAGTTATATATATATACAAATCAAATCAAATCAAATCAAATATTTTATTATTCCAATCAGGGTCCCACAGGGGGCATTTAGTATTTTACAATTAACAATTATGATATACAAATGTGTGTGTGCATGTACAATAGAAAAATATTTTGATTGCAAATTTGTAATAAAAAAAGGCATTTTACCAAATACACAATGTTCTCCTCAACAATCACAAAATTTACATGAACGATACAAATGATCAATGAAAAGATGATTTGACAACTATTCTTTAAGTCATTTAGAGAATATTATATGATAGACATAAATATGCTATTTAAAACCTGTTGTAGATGTACGTTATACATGCAAGGTGATTTAGGTAATACATTGCTCTTTCTGGTAAAATATCACTGTAAATGCTGGTGATTGTGGTTGATTCAATTTGATTTATCTCCCAGTCTTTTAAAAGATAAAACACAAATATTAGTGGGTCATAAAACAGAGTGTTGTCACCTCCATCATGTCCATTGACCAGGAGTCACACTGTCTCACAGTAAATGAAGACCACCAAGGATGAGTATTGAATCAAACTTAAGTGTACCTGTAGCTACATTGAACATGTAAAAAAAGAACAGTAAATGCTCAATATATGGTTGAACATAATGTTTTATGAAGATTTCTACATTAATGACCTTTTTTTTGTTTCAGCTCGGCCCTCGACACACAGACCAATATTAAAGTTGCTGTAAAAAAATTAGCCAGACCCTTCCAGTCAGCCATTCATGCCAAACGTACTTACAGAGAAATTCGTATGCTTAAACATATGAACCATGAAAATGTAAGTACATTATGTAATTTGTAGTCTTAAATGATTTAAATTATCCAATGAAATACATTTATAGTGTTAGTAATGCTGGTGATGTATATTCATGATATTTGCATTCAGAAATTCATACCATTTAAATTATATGTGGAAACATTTGTAACTGCTAAAACATGTAAAAGAATTCAAAAATTTGTCATAATGAAAGTCAGTCAGGAGTAATACTGATTCAAGTAACTAGTTTTGGAGGTAGAGTGTTCTCCCTTTGTTGAATATAATTATCTACTTGTTCAGTCATGATAGTAGACACTGGCAAATTAAAGACTTGAAATGTCAGCAAAAATATCCCATTTTTCTAAATATATATATATAAATCCAATGAATACATTTTTCAGAGTAATCCATGCATTCTCTATATTGTTAAAAAAAACTGACAAATTGCTTCCATTTTTTACAGGTTATAGGCTTATTAGATATTTTTACACCAACTTCAACATTAGAAGATTTCAACGATGTGTAAGTATGACTAGGAGATACCAAATTATTTGACAGATGGATTTGTTGAAAGTATTCTACTTGAACCTTTCTTTATTTGAGTTATCTGTTTTTATATTCAATGATATATATACATGTATATATGAATTGTGGCAAATGTTCACTCCCCTTTTTTGAATGGAATAGATTAATTGTAGGTGAAGAAACAATTTGGTTATCAACCTGTTTTCAAAAGTGCTCAATGCTCTTTACATTGTTTAATACAGAAAAACACTTTGGACAAACCAAGTTTATAATGTGTTGTTTTCATTTTACAATGGCTGATATAAGATAACTGGTTATGCTGATTTACCTATTTAAATCTAAACATTATAACTAAGCGTTGTTCTGGGATTGCCTTACGGTTTGCTATGGTACTTTTTGGTAAATTTCCAAAGTGGTTGTTACTAGAACCTATATATTTTTAAGAGCAGATAAGTACATGATAAAAAAATATATGTGTTGCAGGATTCCTGATATGTGTCTTCTAAAACCCCCATAAACCACCCTTACATTTTAACAATCAAAATAGAGAAAACGAGACAAATACTTTTGCATAAATTTTATATTTTAGTTTTAAGTTTTAAGCTCAAACCATGTTAAGTTTCAGTTAACATGGTCAACATAAAGAAATAGCGATTTGCATGATAGTAATAAAAATATGAAATTAAAGAGAGGCAAAAGATACCAAAAGGAAATTCAAACTCAAAAGTAGAAAATGAACTGACAATGCCATGGCAAAAACTAAAATACAACCAAATGACAAACAACAATATACAAAACACTACATACTTTTACATAGAAATCTCACGATTGAGCAATACCAACCCCGCCAAAAACAGGGGGATGTTAAATAAAGCAGATAACTGTGAAACTGTCAACATTATAATATAATCATAATTATTTACCCTGCTTTATCTTACAACAAAAAGACAAATGTTAATAATTGTTTTTATACGAAGAAATTCAAATCTCTAAATAACATTGATGACTAGCAGATGTAATAAAACACTATGATAATCTGTTTCAGCTACCTCGTCAATACCTTAATGGGTGCAGATCTAAATAATATAATTAAAACACAAAGACTTAGCGATGATCATGTACAGTTTTTAGTATACCAAATACTTAGAGGGCTGAAGGTACTAGTATATATGGAAATTTTGGTTTTTAACACTCATCAAAAAATTTTAATAAATTAATATATATTGGTTAATGCAGTTTAGAAAATGTTAAAGCATTTAACATTTGCTAATATTGAATGAAATACTGACATTAAAAAACCCTCACAAATGAAAACGCCAGAAAAAGCACTCTCATTGGTGAGTATTTTATCTATTTAACAAGGATGAAGCCATAATATACAGTTTATGTACAGTTTTAGTTGTTTAGATTCCCTACTGGGAAAGGAAAACATGATGATTGATGCAGACAAAGGTATAGTTTTATTAAGCTAATTTTTGTCTCGCCTTGACAGAGTCAAAAAGCGAGACATAGGTATATAAAAAAGAAGATGTGGTATGATTAGTATTTTATAATCCTCCTGACATAAGAGCACTCAACAATCTTATTTTTAACAATGATGGAGAAAAAAGTAACTGTTTATACCTTCTGCAATATATTATTGCATCAATATAATATGATCATCTCCTGTCTCACCTGTTATATTTATAAAACTCCTTACTGAGGAGCACTTTGGTGTGCACTTAAAAATACTTTTTTGTAACAATTCAAATGATAATAAATTACTCTCAATAACATATATACTATATGTTTGAACAAGTAATTTAAATGTAGATAATTTAATTACATTAAACATTCAATTTTGCATGTATAACTCCATCTTTCAAAACTGCTTGTCTATTTTGGTATAAGTTATAAAACATTGAAATTTCTGATGACTATTTTCCTTACCAAATGTACAAGTTTGTTTAGATTAACATCAAAATGATATGCTTTGCTTCATGGTATGATAATTTGATAATAAAAAATTCTTATTGGAACCAACATCAAGAACACATTATTTTTTGAATATGGTTTAAATACAACTAATGGTCTCCAGCTGAGCCTAGCAATATTCAAGGTAATTTATACACTGTCCAACATTGCCCTTAAAATCTGGGTTATAAGGCTAAAGTGCCCTTTCAGACAACTAGCACCCTTCTGCCCTGAGATTCAAGCTGGAACACTGATTACCAATGAGACAACTCTCCACAAGAGACCAAATGACACAGAAATTAACAACTATAGGTCACTGTACAGCCTTCAACAATGAGCAAAGCCCATACCGCACAGTCAGCTATAAAAGGCCCGAAATGAAAATGTAAAACAATTCAAACGAGAAAACTAACGGCCTAATTTATGTACAAAAAATGAACGGAAACAAATATGTAACACATAAACAAAGGACAACCACTGAATTACAGGCTCCTGACTTGGGACAGGCACATACATACAGAATGTGGTGGGGTTAAACATGTTAGCGGTATCCCAACCCTCCCCATAACCTGGGACAGTGTTGTAACAGTACAACATAAGAACGAACTATAAAAATCAGTTGAAAGAGGCTTAACTCATCAGATGGATAAAAATACAAATACTACAAATACAAGTGAACGTGGCCGGGTACTTGTACATCCAAACAACAAAAAGACACTAAGTACAGATCTGAGAGTACTCACAGTTACTGACAGCTTGTTCAAAGCTATGAACAAAATGTAAAACACTGTCCGCATTAGGGACTATATTCGTAGACAACGAAAGAAGGACGATAATTATGCTGTTTCCAGCGTTGGCGTTGGCCAATGTTTGTGATTAGGTCTAGTTCATGGTAAACCACTAGTGGTAGGTCAATGATATTTGGTATGCAGTTGTATTAGCATTTGCACATCTCATTACCATGGAGATTATTTGGCCCTGCCCCCTCAGTCAAGTTCTATTTTTTTATATTGACTTTGAAACTTTGCTTAGTTTTCATGTATTAGTTTGTGATTAGGTCAGTTTATGGGGAATCACTAGTGGTAGGTCAATGATATTTGGTATGCAGTTGTATAAGCATTGGCTTATCTCATTTCCATGGAGACTATTTGGCCCTGCCCCCTCATTCATGGTCTGTTGACTTTGAAACTTTTGCTTAGTTTTCATGTATTAGTTTGTGATTAGGTCAGTTTAAGGGGAACCGTTAGTGGTAGGTCAATGATAATTGGTATGCAGTTGTATAAGCATTAGTACATCTCATTTCCATGGAGAATATTTGGTCCTTACCCCTCAGTCATGGTCTTTTGATTTTGAAACTTTTGCTTAGTTTTTATGTATTAGTTTGTGATTAGGTCAGTTTAAGATGAACCACTTATGTTAAGTCAATGATATTCGGTATAGTTTCATTTCCATGGAGATTATATAATCCCACCCCCTAATTATGGTTCATTGACTTTGAAACTTTTACGTAGTTTACAAGTTAATGTTTGTGTTTAGGTTTGTTTAAAGGGAACTTATGAAAAGTCAAGGGTATTTGGTTTGCAGTTGTATTAGCATTGGCACATCTCATTTCCATGGAGATTGTTTAGCCCTGTACCTTCAGTCATGGTTCATTGACTTTGAATATTTGCATAACTTACATGTTAAAGTATTGCTATTTTAATTTCAACATTTGCATTATCAAAATAACAAACAGGCGAGACATATCTCTGTGTTAATCATTTTTTTTTTACATTTTTATACGACCGCAAAAAAATTTTTGTGGTCGTATATTGGTATGACGTTGGCGTCGTCGTCGTCGTCCGGCATCGTCCGAAGACACATTGGTTTTCGCACTCTAACTTTAGTTTAAGTGAATGGATCTTTATGAAATTTTACCACAAGGTTCAATACCACAAAAGGAAGGTTGGGATTGATTTTGGGGGTTATGGTAATAACAGTAAAGGAATTAGGGGCCAAAAATAAGCATTTTTGTAACTTCCAGACATAACTTGTGTGTTAGTGTATGGATCTCTCTGACATTGTACCACAAGGTTCCATATCACTAAAGGAATGCTGGGATTGATTTTGGGGGTAATTGCCTCCAAATTTTAGGAATTAGGGGCCAAAAAAGGGGCAAAAAACAAGCATTTTTCTAGTTTCATGACAATAACTTGTGCGTAAGTGTATGGATCTTTCTGAAATTGTACTACAAGGTTCCATATCACAAAGGGAAAGCTGGGTTTGAGTTTGGGGGTAGTTGCCCTAAACGTTTAGGAATTTGGGGCCAAAAAGGGGCCAAAAAACACATTTTTTTCTAGTTTCCAGACAATAACTTGTGTTCAAGTGTATGGATCTCTCTGAAATTGTACTGCAAGGTACCATACCACAAAGGGAAGGCTGGGATTGAGTTAAGGGGTGATGAATCATAATGGGGGTTCAAAAAATTTTGGGGGGGGATTTATTTTTTTTTCATTTTTTTTCTTTTTTTCCTTTTTTGTTTCTTTTAAAATTTTCCATTTTAAGTTGGTTATTTCTGATTTATATTTAAAATCAAATAATAATGATATGGTAGGAGATACACACCAAACAGGATGTGTAAATTATTATATAATAAGTATTGTGCAATAGCAAGAAATTTTCAATTGCACAGTATTGCACAATACAATGTAGCAAGAAATCTTCAATTGCACAGTATTGCGCAATAGCAAGAAATCTTCAATTGCACAGTATTGCGCAATAGCAAGAAATATCCAATAGCACAATATTGCGCAATAGCAAGAAATTGTCAATTGTACAGTATTGCGCAATAGCAAGAAATATTTAATAGCACAGGATTGTGCAAAAGAAGATACTTCCTATAAATTGCTTATTTCTTGACCAATTTCAATGGGGTTTTATTCTTGATTTCATGGGGTTCTTTAATATGCTGAATCTAACCGTGTATTTAGTTTTTGGATTTTGGGCCCCGTTTTTAAATTGGTCCACATTGAGGTCCAAAGGGTCCAAAATTAAACTTTGTTTGATTTCATCAAAAATTGAATTATTGGGCTTCTTTGATATGCCGAATCTAACTGTGTATTTAGATTCTTAAATTTTGGTTCCGTTTTCAAATTGGTCTACATTAAGGTCCAAAGGGTCCAAAATTAAACTTAGTTTGATTTTAACAAAAATTGAATTCTTAGGGTTCTTTGATATGCTGAATCTAAACATGTATTTAGATTTTTGATTATGGGCCCAGTTTTCAAGTTGGTCCAAATCGGGGTCCAAAATTAAACTTTGTTTGATTTCAACAAAAATTGAATATATGGGGTTCTTTGATATGCTGAATCTAACCATGTATTTAGATTTTTGATTTTTGGGCCCCGTTATCAACTTTGTCCACATTGAGGTCAAAAGGGTCCAAAATTAAACTTTGTTTGATTTCATCAAAAATTGAATTCTTGGGGTTCTTTGATATGCTGAATCTAACCGTGTATTTAGATTCTTAATTTTTGGTTCCGTTTTCAAATTGGTCTACATTAAGGTCCAAAGGGTCCAAAATTAAACTTAGTTTGATTTTAACAAAAATTGAATTCTTAGGGTTCTTTGATATGCTGAATCTAAACATGTATTTAGATTTTTGATTATGGGCCCAGTTTTCAAGTTGGTCCAAATCAGGGTCCAAAATTAAACTTTGTTTGATTTCAACAAAAATTGAATATATGGGGTTCTTTGATATGCTGAATCTAACCATGTATTTAGATTTTTGATTTTTGGGCCCCGTTATTAACTTTGTCCACATTGAGGTCAAAAGGGTCCAAAATTAAACTTTGTTTGATTTCATCAAAAATTGAATTCTTGGGGTTCTTTGATATGCTGAATCTAACCATGTATTTAGATTTTGGATATTGGACCATAATAGGTGAATGTCCAATTTAAAATTTTTAAGTTCTTAGACCACATTCAATCTGTGTTAGAAACCTATGCTGTGTCAAATATTTAATCACAATCCAAATCCAAAGCTGTATCAAGCTTGAATGTTGTGTCCATACTTCCCCCAACTGTTCAGGGTTCGACCTCTGCGGTCGTATCAAGCTGCGCCCTGCGGAGCATTTTATTTATTCTGCTAGAACAGTATGGAGAGGAATGCTAAAAATGTACATCAATAGAATAACACAAGACTTAGGCAAACCAAAAGAAGGGCGGTCAAGGCAATAATCAAACAATTATTTTGGAGCATGACACTATGACTCTAATAGTCAAACTTCAACGTGAATCTTTAAGAGTATTTTTTAGTCGACTGAACCCCCTGGGTACAAGTGTGCTCTGGAATGGTATCCTATCCTGATTGTATTTACAAACAGAGATCATAGAGATAATCAATCATTTATAGATTAAACTGTACTACTTTTTAAATGTTGAAGTAAAAGGGATTTGGCAATCACAGACATTTTCATTTACTATTTGAAAACTGCTAATTAATACATATTTTCCCTGTTTTCAGTATATACATTCAGCTGGAATTATTCATAGGGTAAGTATTTTGTATATATACTTAAGATACAATTGAAGAGCAATAGATTTGGAACTGTAACATGTGTAAATTGCATTACCAGAGGAAAGATCATATGGTAATATTGGAAAGGGTATATTACTGTACTTGCAGCCATTAAGGAAAAAAGTTATGGAGTTCAAAGCAGATATCTTAAAAGCAAAAAATCTGGCTACTAATATTGATTAAAAGTTATATTGAATTAATTGTTCATGGCTTGATTGTATTTATAACCCCATTCTAGTAGTGGGGCTATATTGTATTCATCTTGTCCGTCTTTTCTTCCCTAAATCCAACAATTATTTCAGTCACAATTTTATCAGGGATCTTTGATTAGAAAGACTTCATATTTGGTCAGCAGCTTGGCAGTGATGAGTTGTGACATGTGATCACTTTTTTTTTTATCTCTGAAACACCTACTTCCTATTGACTGCTACTTTTTTTTTTATAAGTTAGAAAACTAATAAATTTCTTCTTCTCCTGTTCTACTCAACAAAATCACTTCATATTTATTCAGCAGCTAGATGGAAATAAGTCATAATGAGTGAACTCTTTCAGAAATGTCATACACCTACCTCCTGTTTACCGATACTTTGTATTACGAGTGGTGTGTGCTTAGCAGGACCTAGTGTGCATTCTTGTTGTTCTTGCAAATTGTTTTTTGTGAAAGAAAATAACCACAGCTTTTTACCTGAGCTAATGACATCTGAAAAGTAACTGTTTCATGCAATTGTTTGTATTCTGTAAATTCAGAAATTGTTGCAATGCTTGTATTATTTGCGAATTATGCAACTGTCATACAAATGAGAGGTTTAGCTAGCTATAAAACCAGGTTTAATCCACCATTTTCTACATAAGGAAATGTCTCTACCAAGTCAGGAATATGACGGTTGTTTTCCATTCGTTTGATGTGTTTTCGATTTTGATTTTGCCATTTGATAAAGGACTTTCCATTTAGGATTTTCCTTGGAGTTCGATATATTTGTTATTTTACTTTTTGCAATAATAAGAACTTGCATTCTGATATCTGATGTATTTATCTGTATACAACGTTTCCTGTTATCGAAATAACTAATCTCGCATTGATGTTCATTCCTCAAAAATCGCTATAATAAATGCACACCAAAATTTCTGAATTTACAGTAATTCTTTTATGATAATAATAATATATTTGTCATGTAAAATCTTATCATTGACAGGACATGAAACCAGCTAACATTGCTGCTACTGCAGACAATTTACTTAAGGTAATTCAATTATTTTCTGTTACATTTTATTGTAGGATTTAAAGCCAAGTAACATTGCAGTTAATGAAGACTGTGAACTGAAGGTAAAAACTATGTGATGTTTCTTCCTAGTCTGTTACCATGTGTGATTGTACGGTACATACTCTCCTTCATTTATTGAATACCCTGTTAATTGTCATAGTCAATCAATTCATGCAAAACTGGATTCAGTAAGAATCAATTCACCAATTGCTTTAATATAACTTTTCTACCTTTTATAGCATGAACATAAAGGTATAAGGTTTTCGTTTTTATATATCATATCATATATATACCAATTTATATAGAATTTTTTGTAGTACATAAGTCCGATATCTTGTATCTCTAGGTATATTTCATTATTTAAGTGGTGAGAGAAGTGAGACATAGCATGTTTACTTAACTCCAAGGTTTTTACATATAAAAGGGCTGCTCGATTAAAATATACATATGTCACTTTTAAAGTGGAGTAATCACAGAGGCAATTTTTGAATTTCACTTCAATTTTTATAATTTTCATTAAAGACAGCAATAAAGTTACAGTTTAAATTTTTATAGTATAAAAAGAATTTGACACCTATTTAAAGTTGAGATTTCGAAGTGCATTTCTGGATACCATAAATGTTTTAATGTAACAGCCAAAGTAAGTCAAAATCTGAATCAATTAGCTGTTATAGGATAACATAGCACACATACAAATAGAACTCATTTCTGAATATGTAGAAAAACTTTCTAGAAAAATAATGGGTTTCAAAATTTAAAACTTGTCACATGAAAGACAGCCTGTCATGGTTCCATTAACTGTATGCAGAGCCTCTTAAAGCAAGAAAATCAAGTAGCCACGAAATTTATTACCCCCTTAATAAAGTCCAAAGTAGAAATTTTAAAGGCAAACTCTGACCAAAATGCAAACTCAAAAACTGGTATTTTGTAGAATCCTTTGTGTACCTTTCAGAGGGAGACCCAAATTAAGCATTTAAATATCCTTGGAATGATTCAATTTTCATTTCAACCTTTGGCTGAATTTCTGAAAAGGATTGAAAGCAATTATTCCCTCAGATACATTCATTTTAAATTAATTCCTAATCTGTTTATTGTTATCCAAGATGGCAACCTGGGCTATGCTGTCATATGTAGAAATGATCTTCTTGATTTATTGATTGTTGTTTGCTTAATGTCCAATGGCATATATTTTAGGCATATTTAGTAACATGTGCAAGTCAATTTTCTTCTTAACAAACTTTAATAAATTGAAATGAATTACTAGACATTTTTTTGTGAAGCACTGAACAACTCTTGTTACTTTGTTGTCTGTTGGTCAGTTAATACCCAGCCTCTTAATGTTACCTTCATGAAAGCATATAAAATATCTAATTTTTTAAAAAGTAACTGACTGAGTATTGCAACTTCGATGCCAAATGAGAGTATATAGGCTCTTAGCAGGAATGCAGTTTCACATTGCAGACTGGGAAATATATGGGGAAATCTTCCTTTAAGCTAGTTAAACAATTGAAATCAAATTTGACATGAGGGGTCATTGTGTCTATGAAATATTGACTGACTGATAGATTGTTACTTAGTTTAGATCATCCTTTTATTATAGCCGACAAAGGATTTAATACTTAAGACCATTCAGGAAATATATAGAAATTTGTTTGTTATTATGATTCTTAAGTAGCTTACACTAGTTATGTAAACAAGTTTATTTTCCCCCGCAGCAAAACTATGCAGGGACATAGAACTACCAAGTTTTTTAACTGATGATTTTCCAACTTATCTTAGACATAACTGTAATAAATCTTTGATATAAATTTTGTAAAAAAAAATTAATAAAAATCTCAAAAATATATTGAGGTTATTGCTCTTTTACAGATAAGATATTTGTCAAACTTACCAAAGAAAGTGATGTTTGATAAAAAGAAACCATTTCTTATGCAGCTGCAATTAAAATCAGAAATTGTATATATTTATCAAAATATTCACTAAAAATTTCAGTCAACAATTGACAGTTGTTTGTTGGTGTTGTTTTTGTTTGTCCTGTCATTACCATTATCAAAATTACACCATAATACAAATGTCACAAATTAAAATTCAATATTTTGTGTTATTAAAAAAAAAATTAATATTAATGCATATTGAAAGTACAATGCACAGTTTCCTCCTGTTTGTTTTAAGCCGTGATGTTTTTTAAGAAAATATTTCCCCTGAGAGCATTGGATGCTCATTAAGATGTTATTGAAAAATTTGTACACCATAGCTTTCTTACAGTTTGAAGTTGGTGAGTATACCATGAATATGAATTGAAATGTATTATTTAGTTATTTTTTAGTAATTAAATTGTTGGTAGATTATTGATTTCAAACATGGGAAAATAATAACAAATGCATGTAACAAGAACTTGAAGTTGGTAACTTTGCAACATTTAATACTAATGCAGTCATGGCAGTTATGGAGAAAAACAAGTTTTTATTTGACCCTTATAACTATTTACAGATCTTAGACTTTGGTCTGGCCAGACATACAGAGGATCAGATGACAGGTTATGTAGCTACCAGATGGTACAGGGCACCAGAAATTGTTTTGAACTGGATGCATTATGGGCAGACAGGTATGAGTTATATACAAGCTGGTTATTACAATTCATCATATGCTTGACCATTGGTATTCCAGTAGTGTTAAAAAAAACCACACAATCTTAATTAATGACATGTCAGATGGCAATTTCTTAAAAATGTATGAAGTAACTGATTGATATTATTAAGTGTTGTTGAATTGACAATAGGGGATGCTTTCGTCTCACTGTAAGGTGTGAACAATTCATGTCTGCAATGCAGACCATACAGCAACAAAAGATCAATAAAAACGCTTCCTTTGATATATTGTTATTTCCCCTTGCCTTTGATATTAGTAAAATAATCACTCATTGGATTGACCCATTACTTTAAAAACAAGTTTTACTTTTTTATCCCTTCAGTGACCCTCATCCTTGAAAAATCTACATGTTTATCCATGATATATTTGATATAACTGCCTTTTAATATCTTTTATATTGCCATTCAACATCTCTCTATTTACAAATTTTATTTCTTTTATTTTAGTTGATATATGGTCAGTAGGATGTATAATGGCAGAAATGTTAACAGGAAAAGCATTGTTCCCTGGAAATGATCGTATCCTTTCTTCATAAAAAAATGTAGATAGACTTACCTTATAAGTGATTTTTTTCAGCATTCCAGAGCTTTATTAACATTTCTGTATGCATAGATGTGAAGATTTTAAATAATCTTCAATTAATATTTTACTAACTCTTCTCTAATGTAACCATACATAACTTTACCCTTTGCATGTTAACTTTATAAGGACGTAATTTTCAGGAATTATTATATATTCAGCTGTTGCATTGGTCTTTTACTGTTGGTTTTTTTTACCTTTCATGATCTGCTAAAGTTTGACTAACCTGTGAAAAATATAAATTTAACATGTATATAGAACAAATAAAAATGGTAGTTGGCAGAAAGTCACAATATATTTGTTGTTTTTTGGTTACAATGGTCTCGTTCTTAAAAAAACTATCAACACTAGACTCTGCTAATATGGAAAATAGAACTAATCAGTATCCTACAGACAAATCAAGAGAAAAGACTCTGTGATATTTCATCATTTATCTAGCACGAAAACCAAACATTGTGTAATACAATGGAAGATATGTATGGGTAATTATAATTGTAATATAAACTACTGAGAAGAAAAAGGCTATGCATTTGGACTTTTAAGTGGTTTTTGTGTAGAATCTGAATCGCATTGAATGTTGATAAGACTGTTGTTAGATTACCTGTGGCCTTGTGACTAAAAAAAGTTTGCTTTATAATTGAATAAAGTTCATATTTCAAAGGTTTTATTTTCCTCCATGACATAGGAGCTATTCAGTCAATTGGAATTTATTTTAAAACAATCAATAATATATATCTGTATATAATTCTGTACTTACAAATAGTTAACGTATAATTGCTTTAATTTTTAACCAGATTTTTAAATGATAATGCAAAGAGTGTTTAGATGTACAATATAGCCATCATTCCAACTTCTAAAATGTATTTGTCATTCTGAAACATCTGTCCTCTGTGTCTTGCAAAAAACTGAATGTACAGTTAAGCCTAACTGAGTCTTCTATGTGTTTGAAAGTTGTGAACTAATTTCTTCATATAAGACTTTTTACAAAGTATCCCAAAAGAGAGAAAAAGTCTGTATTAAGCCATGAACAAACCTAGATATCATGGATTAACAAACATTTTTTTATTGTTCTTAGTCAGTTTAAAAATCATTGATTTATCAGCCTTATTTTTGAGGATAAATCATTTTTTGACTTTAACATTCTAAGACATTCACCAATTGAGATTAGTACTAACATTAACTGGTACACCACCACAGCATCTTCTTGATAAAATCACTGATGAAGATGTGAGTTACTAACATTATTTGCATGTGGTGTTGTCTCCCTTTTGTTTGTTATCTCCCTTATGTTAATAAAAAGCATGAAACTTTTAAGAGAATAATTTATTGCTGTTTTCGTAATCTGTTGATTTAGTGTCTTCTCTGACAAGAATAGTTATGAAAAATATTATTTTTTCTACATCTATTTCAAAGTTTATATATATTTTTGGTGGAGGTTTTCACTGTTTGACGATAATCTCCTATAACTAATGGCTTTTAATGATAGGAGGTATTGAGACTGATATGGATCAAGGTCTGTAGTTAAAGATTCTTTTAATTTGGTGTTAGCTGCATTATACATATACAGTAAGAGGTCAAAATTGTTTCACCATTTGAAAATTAGGCTATATATTTATACATAAACCAATTTTTATAAAAATTCAACTGAAGATATTTCTTGTCCAAATTGAATCATTTTGTTTTTTCATGAAATAAAGAAATGTCTGTAGTTTCTTTCAAAACTTATATAATATATTTTTGATTTATATATTTAGGAAAATAACTGTTTAAAGACAAATATGAATTTCTGCATGAAAAATATATATGGCTAAGTAGGAAAAAATTACACTTTATTTCAATATTTGTATCCAAATAATGATTTCTCAGTAATGACATGTCAAAAAATATTTCATAATAACCATAGAAAACTGCACACATTTATGTGTTTAACATTAAAATTTCTTCAAAATTGGACCTCAAATAATTTTTTGGCAATGTTTAAAAAAAAATGTGTTTTTTTATATGAAATAATAGGGGAATTTTAGATAGGTGAAACACTTTTGACCTAAGGCTGTAGTTGCAATGCTTGCAAATGTAAAAGAAATATGTTTTGATTATCTGTTTTGAAAGAGATCGATGTATGTCTTTTTTGTTTGTCATTCAGATTATTGGTTAGACTTGAAAATGTGTGTACCATGTGTTCGATTGATATTTTGTCCTATTTTAAATTTTTTTTAAAAAGCTTGCTTTATTTATTAAAATATAACATTCATTATATTGTATTTGAAGATAAAAAAAAAATGTTGCATTTTAGCTTATTACTTGGAAAGCTAGAATTTTGTGTTCATGTATTGTTCATTACGCATATTTGCTTTTGTATGTATTGTATCAAATTCCCTTGTATTTATATGAAAAAACTAATATCAAACTGTAAAGGGGTTTTAATATTTAACCCCCTGAGAACAGTCAAGGTGTTTTTAAAACATTTGAAAAAGCTGCTTCAAGTTTCCTCAGCATTGATGTAGTGCTAAGTTTGAACAAAATGAGAGACAAGCAATTTTTGTTGAGCTTGTAACATTTTGTTGCATAATCAAGACAAAGCGATCCTACATTCATTGGGAGTCAACATTTTAGGTTCAGTTTGTGGTTAAAGATTTTTTGAATATCAATCACTTTCTCAGACCTTCTAGGAATTTTATGAAACTTTGACAGAACCCTTTGAGCTCACCTGGCCCGAAAGGCCAAGTGAGCTTTTCTCATCACGGTCCGTCGTTGTTGTCGTTAGCTTTTTACAAAAATCTTCTCCTCTGAAACCACTGGGCCAAAATAACCAAACTTAGCCACAATCATCATTAGGGTATCTAGTTTAAAAAATGTGTCCGATGACCCCGTCAACCAACCAAGATTGCCGCCATGGCTAAAAATAGAACATAGGGGTAAAATGTAGATTTTGGCTTATATCTCTGAAACCAAAGCATTTAGAGTAAATCTGACTGGGTAAAACTGATTATCAGGTCAAGATCTATCTGCCCTGAAATTTTCAGACAAATCTGACAACCTGTTGTTGGGTTGCTGCCCCTGAATTGGTAATTTTAAGGAAATTTTGCAGTTTTTGGTTATTATCTTGAATATTATTATAGATAAAGATAAACTGTAAACAGCAATAATGTTCAGCAAAGTAAGATCTACAAATAAGTTGTATGACCAAAATTGTCAGTTGACCCCTTTAGGAGTTATTGCCCTTAATAGTCAATTTTAAACAATTTTTTGTAATCTTTTACAAAAATCTTCTCTGAAACTACTGAGACATATTTAACCATACTTGGCCATAATCATTATTAGGGTATCTAGTTAAAAAAATTTGTCCGATGACCCCGCCTTCCAACCATCATGGCCGACTTGGTTAAAAATAGAACATAGGGGTAAAATGCAGTTTTTGGTTTATATCTCTGAAACTAAAGCATTCAGAGCAAATCTGACAGGTGGCAAAAATGTTCATCAGATTTAGATTTATCTGCCCTGAAATTTTCAGACCAATCCAACAACCCGTTGTTGGGTTGCTGCCCCTGAGTTAGTAATTTTACAAATATTTTGCAGTTTTTTGTTATTATCTTAGATATCATTATAATATCTAATATCTAATACTATTAATTATGATTTTAACCTTATTTTACATGATTTCCAAAGCATCAGTAAATACAGGTGAGCGACACAGGCTCTTGAGAGCCTCTAGTTTATTTCCAGAGCAAAATTTTGAAATGTTTATTTTTTTTCCATATTTTACTTTCGATATAGTCTGGGGTTAAAGTTTTTTAGACATCAATTAATTTGTCATAGAATTTTTATGAAACTTTGGCAAAAGCTTTTAAATGATTGAAAGATAATGCCTGAAGCAAAATTTTGAAAATACTTTTTTTTTCATTTTTTATTCCATTTTATACTCATAAATGGACATTACCCATTTACACTGACAGCAGCAATCGCAGGAGAGACACAGGATTCTGGGAACCCTTTACATTTTTTTTCGATAAAGGCCAGTTATATCATTGTATTCACAAACTAAAAATTAGTGCACACAAATTTTGCAGTTTGCTTACTGTGTAGAAGAAGAAAAGAGAAAAAGAATAAGAATATTTTAAACTGTCCTTAACAGAGTTTTAGATATTGATCAGTTAACAAGAGTTCTGTCCCTTGTTGGAACTCCTAATCAAAAACTGCTTGACAAAATATCTAGTCCAGAGGTAAGAATTGTCTCGTTGATCTAGAGATCAAATTAAAATGAATGCTTTTACATATAAAAATGCATGGATGTGTATGAATTTATATTTTAATTTTACCAATGTTGTATACAAATGTACATGTTTGCATTTTGATGTAGTGAAAAATGCAAAAAATTACCAAAAGGGCCAAAATCGGGTCAATAACTCAACAATTTTCTTTTTGTTTTGATACAAAATTCAACATGACACCTTATCCTTTAAAAAAACTTATGATTGACAGAAACTTAAGAAATCTTGTATTTGATTTGAATGATCTCTATATGGTCATTATCAAACATATAAAGGAGTTTGTTGGATAAGGCCCTAAATAGGCTCCTATTACTAGCTACAATTTCAAATTAGGATTTATTGACCAATATCAAAATAATCATAGCTTATATAGATAGGAAATATGCATTACGTACTTAAGATCTGTTTATGACATCACAAATAGAACTCATTTTGATTTTCAATGAAAATTCATTGAAAATGGGTAAATTTTCATTGATTTTTTGGTCAGGAAACAGAGAGACCATGCATCAACAAAATAGAACTTTTCACATAATGTTTGTTTTAAAATTTAACATATCTGACTTGAATATTTAGTTTGTCAATGCCTACGCACTATATATGTTTCCTAGGCCTTAATTTGGTTGAAATCCAGACGATTTTGTCAGATTTCCCAAAAATGTCTATTTTTTGCCTATTTGGGATGGAAAAGGTTCTATTAAGATTTCTCACATGTCTTTTCAACAAGTTAAAACATTTTTAATCTTGAAACATTGAACTTAATAATCAGGGGAGATAACTACGGGAAGTATACTGTTCAAAAATATTTTCTATAAGGTGAAACTAATTTGTAATAAGTAATTTAACATAAAATGCATTGTGGCTTATTTCAGGCTAGAAATTATGTTGCCTCAATGCCAAAATGGCCAAAGAAAGACTTTAGGGAAGTTTTCATTGGAGCGAATCCTCTTGGTATGTATTTCTTGAATACTGTTTTTCATAGCCAATCTATGAAACTTAATTAAATTGAATCCTTATTTAATAGATACACAGGCAAAATTGAAGTGTTGTGACTAAGTGCAAGCACCTTAAATATGAAAAATACTACCTCTGTAATATTTATGAGAAATAATGAAAGTTCCATTAAAAAAATATAAATGGTACTTCAGTGATGAAGAAATTGTTTATATCAAATTTTTGTATCTAGATTTTAGCTAAATCTTTCTTTTCAAATATATGCTCAATATATTTATTTGCTACAAAAATTTGGCTTTGAGTGTTCCTGATGAAGGTAAATCCAGAAAAGTACTTCAAACTCATAAAATTTATAAAGTGTTATTTTCACAAGATATGTAAATAAATTAATTTTGTATTTATTAGGGATACAAGTCTCAAGTTGTGTGCATCATTCATGAACAAGATGAAAATATATCCCTTTTAGATGTTAAATAAGTAACAATCAATCTATGAAATTATATCATATAGAAAGACAAATATTTTGGTACAATAAATAGCCTTCATCAGTGTCAGTATTTTTATATAATCATAATGAATATGAATTGATTTCAGCAATTGATTTGATGGAAAAGATGTTAGATTTGGATTCGGAGACTCGTATCACTGCAGAAGATGCACTTGCTCACCCTTACTTAGCTCAATATTCCGACCCCAATGATGAACCGACTGCAGCACCATTTGATCAATCTTTTGAAAATATGGAATTAAGTATACCTGAATGGAGGAGTAAGTACTTAACTGTTCTGAAAAAGGAAAAACCATTTTGACCATTTTTACAGGAGTTATTGAACTTTGACTCTTATTTTTACTATTGTACCACAAAGACAATTGTAAAAGTAACTTTTCTTAGACCGATTAACAGAAAACTCTCATTCTTAGTAGCATTGTTAGCCATTATGTATATATGACCATATTGTACTGTCCTTTTGAATCAACAATTTTTACAGGAGTTATGAGACTGACCACAATTTACTTGTTTACATGCACTGTTTGTGATTATATTCAGAATATATATAGAATTACATGTATATTAGAATGGAAATAGATAACCATATTCTCCTGAATAATAGACTATAACACTTCTATTTGTTAAAAACAAAGTGAAAATATGTTTGCATGATAGCATTTAAGGATTTGTGTAGAGCAAAAACTTGTCTTCTGTACTAAATTATAAGCCTTGTATCTTTGATGTGTTTTTATGGTTAATAATTGAAATCTTCTGTCAGGGTTATTTCTATTGGTGAATCACAAATGTATGTTTAACATATTAATCAAAAATAAGCCTCAGACACTGGATTCTATGTCAATGCTTCATATATTTTATTGTACAGATATATCTTGATTTTTTCTTTATTTGTTTTAATTAATGTGTTAGTCACTTAATCCTTTCTGAAATGATTTTTTTTATTTATTTCAGGGCAATGTTATGAAGAAGTCCAGGCTTGGAATCCTTCCTGAATTATTAGACACACGTTATAGATATTTTATGTATATTGTTAGTTATTGTTAGTCGTCAGAGTGCTGTAAAACTCTGTGATGATCAAACATTTTTTGTATGATGTTTTCATTCTGTCATAGGGCAGTTACTTAGTGCTGCTATTTCTTACTAACCATTTACTGCTTTTGTTTTGATATAGTCAAATTGAATTTGCATTAAGTTTATATTTGAATATCTTGTTTTTGGTAATTATTTTCAGACCACTATTAAACAGTTTTTCATTAAAAAAATTATTATTAAATTTCATAATAGGACATGTAGGAAGTAATAGCCAAAAATTTGATCATGTCATTCATTAAAAATGATAAATTTGAACTTAAAATAAACAGATCAAGGTGATAGGTGATGTCAAATAAAAAAATGATACATCATCTTGATATATATACCACATTCCAAATAGCAAAAACCTATGCCAAAGGATAAAAAGATAATGAGCAGGACAGGATTCTATTTGTTATGCTGTCATTTATATCAGAGTATTTTTAAAGTAGAAATTATCCCCAAATCTATTTACATCCAGTTTTTGTGGAATGTGTGTTTTCTACATATTTGTAGAACAATCAATTATATAGAGTATAAAAATTAAGTATGTATTTTTGTTTTCTTTACAGCATTCCAAATGTTGCTAAATATTTGGCCATTTAGTGGTCTTTTGATGCTTTTATCAAAGTAAGTTTTGAATATTTTTTTATGGCATGTTTTGTTTGAGTAATATTTTATTTATGTTTTTGATTTTGTAAAAACACTATATTTAAGCAATTTTTTCTGTCTCTCAGATAGCTAATTGACACATCAAAATTAAACCACTACTTTTTGGGTTAAAACTGCCAAAATATCCCTATTTACAGTATTCCTGAAAAAAACATTGAAATTTGGGTTGATAAAGAATTTTGAAATTGTGTAGGTTATAAGTGTAAGTAAAACACATCAAAATTTGTGTTAGAGAAACACTTCCAAAGCTCTGGCATTCATACTCTTTTGCACTAGAATTTATTTTTTGAAAAAAAAACTATGATTATTGCGCAATAGTCATTTCATTCTCATTTATTTAAATTTTTTCCTTCATTTTCAGAAATAAGAATTTATTTTGGATGGGATAGTTATGAATTTAATTTTTTGAAATTTTTGTGTGTCTATCATGATTGGCAGCTGTTAGAGTTTACATTGATAATTTACTTTTTAGTGGCAAATAACAGTTTAGAAAGAACATCTGAAATATTCAGAAATCTTTGAGCTTTTACATTTTGCATCATATGATGTAGACATATCTATTAGAATTTACATTTTTTGGGGATTAAATAATGGTCATAATTTTTTTTTGCATCTTCTAATGTTGGCAAGAAAGAATGATGAAATATCCCTTTTGTATGTACATTCAAAATCTGCCTCAAATGTTTGAATCATTTGTTTATAAAGTAATGTTTCATAAGATAATTTTATTTTCTTCAATATTTGCTTATTTAACTAATCACAAAACTGCACAACTATCTCGTTTCATGATGCTTCATAAGATGTTTTGGGTTTTTTTTGTCAATAATTCTATGTTTTAGATTCATTTTATAATCCTGATGTTGGCGCGAGTACAAATGTTTATTTGAAAAATATTAGATACATTTCTCATTTTCAACCCCATGCAACAAATCTTTCATCTTACAGTATATGTATATAAGGGAGTTCTATCATTATGAAAAGATTTTCAATGCAATAATAAGTGTTTATTTCGGAGAGAGAGAAAAAAAATAAGATGTAAATAAAACATTCTATGTAAACTTCAAGCTTAAAAAATGGTAAATATTATTTCATGACAAAGACAAAAAATTTATACAATTTTTGTTTTTTTATCCTATAATTTGGAGTTCATACAATGCATTGTTTTTTTTTTTGTTGTTGTTTTTTTTTAACTTTCTATACAAAGGCAGACAAGAATTTATAATAAAATTGGGGTTTTGAACTATACGAAACTTCCAGACATTTAATATTTTTCAGCAAAATTCATCAAAACTCTTTTCATAGTGATGAGACCCTTTGAATATGTAAACTAGAGATGACACAATTAGTCTAATGGTATATATTGTTAGTAAGGTTTGTTTATCTGTTTGTTTGTTATACAGTTTTAATATAATAGTTCAGTTATTGCTGTGCAATTTGTTGATAAAAAATCTTTTGTAAATGTGCAAATTTATATGTACCAGTAAACTTTTGTTTCATACCAAACATGCTGGTAGTTTGTAAGTTTGTTATTTATATTTTGAAGAAGCTAAGCATGAAATATTTTGTTGTAAATTAAAGTGGTAATGTAAAGATTTTATAAGAAACAGATTTGGGGTTTACACTTAGCATCAAATCTTCAACTTTTTTAGTGAATGCTTTTTCTACTTTTCACCAAAAGAGAGTCCCATTTCTAACAGAAATTGTTGAAAAAGACCTTTTTGACAGGCATGCAAAAAAATTGAAAACTCTTGCTTTAAGAATCTGATACAGTTCTGATTTTTTTTTAGCAGAATCATATAAAAGATATGAGAGAGGACATGGCAAAGTTTTCTTTTGAACAGTAAATTTTATTCATTTGTCATGTATAAACTATAAAAATGAAAAGCTATAGTTTGTAAAGGGCTTGCCTGACTCAAGTGAGATAACATAGGTCTTTTTAATTTAGCTTTACCATTTTGAACATTGCCATTATATACCAAATTTAAAAAATGCTTAATGAAACGTTTCCTTTACTGCCTTAATTTGTAAAATGTATGAAAAACTATACAGTATATTTGTTTATAATGCCACTGTTATGTACATTAGACATATTATCTTATTGTTTAACACAAATACATTTCACTGGGAGAGATGAGTAAATCAAATTTCATTACGAATGTACTATTTATCTAAAAATGTCTGTAAATACCGTAGTCTATTTGCCAATTACATATTTCATTCTGTTATTTCACACTTTTAACACAAATCGCTTCCCTTTGTAAATTGTAGACTAATATTATACAAGCTTATGCCCACACAAAGCATGATAAGTTGAAAGTGATATATCAGCGTTTTAACCAATTTTTAGTGAAAAATGACTACTGGTAGAAAAAGTTTTAAGCTTAACAAAAAATTTAATGTTGTGAAAATATTTGACAAAATTAAAGGATGCACACATTATGCAGAGATAAATTTGCTCTTTCCGCTAGCTCTCCATTGTCAAGGAAAATTTATGTCCTTCCTAAGGGAGACAACTAAAAAATGGATATCTTACTACCGGATAAATTACAGGAATTGGCAAATAGACTAGTTGAGGCTACAAAACAGTTAAAACTAAATGTGTTCATTCTTTTTCCACTATAAACAATATTTATATATGAAAGTGATGAAGCTTTAGAGTAATTTTGATATGCTGTATTTGTATTGTAGGAAAGATTCAGACATTTATTGAATGTTATAAAAAATCTTGTTATTTGTTGAATAATGCACTCTGGTTGGAATAGTATGCAATCTTTACATTATGGAGGTTCACTTAAGAATGATTACTCACCTGCAATACATGTAAATCAATGATGCAATGAAATACTTTGAAATCTCAATTGGTTAAAAAAAGAAACATTAAGTATAGTCTTTACAAAATATTGGACAAAGTTTGCATACTTGATAAGCTGGTGTGAAAAGTGAAAGTGAATGATATAATTGAAAGAAGACTATCATTTTCAAATATTTATCCTGCTTTAATTAGGAATTTACTAGTAAGAGAATGAAATGAAAATTTGAATTTTGAGAGATTTTTATCATTTATAAAAAACTACATTTAAAGTATGTTGCAAAACTGAATTGATAAGAAAAGCTTAATGGGAATGAAATATCTGTCATTGACAATAGTTCTAATCTATTGATATGCATCATTGTATTTCTTGGAGAAATAATGCAATTAAAGCAAATAAAAAGAAACGTGTTTGTTTGAAGATTTATTTCATAAATGATAAAGAAACGTTTTCTAATGTAATGGATTACATTAAAATAAGCAAAGTAAATGTAACTTAATGAATTACTTTTAAGAGTAATTGACCCCATCCCTGGTCAGTACAGACGCGCTGACTACTGATTTGATCCTACTGTCGTGGACTGACAGTTCATCCTCATGGACTAACAGTCCACCAACAGTGGTATTGACCCAGTGCTAGATGAATGAAAATAAAATAAACTATATTAATTTTGTACATCCAAAGTGCTTTTCTGAATGTAAAACAGGCAATTTTGTTACAAAACATTACAAAAATACCCAATAGTAGTGGAAAAAACACTGAAATTATCAGGTTAGAACTAGACTATACCAAATTAAAATAAACTGTAACAAGTCTTGTATACATGATCAATACTATATAACACATTGCTGGTTATTGCCACTTATTTGGAGGTAAGCATCCTGACAATCACTGGCAAACAATTTCTCCTCAATGGTTATATGGTAGACTAGATTACTAATAAAAAGATGAACCAAATGTCGCGTAAATGTTGTGCCACTAAATAAGTCAACATGCATCTTTTTAGTATTTAGGCTGTATGATTAACTGATAGCCATATGTCACTTTTGAATACAATATTATATAGAATTGAGAATGGAAATGGGGAATGTGTCAAAGAGACAACAGCCCGACCATACATCAGAAAACAGCCCAAGGCCACCAATGGGTCTTCAACACAGCGAGAAAATCCTGAACCTCGGGGAAGGCTACATCTGGCTCCTAAACCATAATGTATACTAGTTCAGCGATATGGATGCCACACTACACTCCAAAACATAGATGAACCAAATTTAAAAAACACACAAGACCAACAAAGGCTAGAGGTTCCTGACTTTGGACAGGCACTAAAATGCGGCGGGGTTTAACATGTTTTGTGAGATCTCAAACCTTCCCCCATTACCTCTAGCAAATGTGGAATAAACAAACACACAGCATTATGTACAGTAAAACCCAGTTTAAAAGAAGTCAAAGTCTGATGTTAGAAAAGGTTACAGAAGAAACTAAGTAAAATGACAATGATCAACATAAATTGACTACTATCTTGTGATAACCAAGCACAATCCCTCTTGTTGAGGGTTTAGTATCATGCCATCATAAATTATATGAGAAGAACATCACCCATATCGTGCCAAAAACTGATTTTAAAATAAATGTGTTTATTTCCGATGCAAAGACCCTATGAATGAATCAATATAAATTCCAAAAAATGTCATCTTTAATGACTTGACAACAGTATCATAACTAGATCCCTTCTGAAGAGGTCTGTTTAAAGGTTTGGTTAGCTTTTGAGGTGTCTGTGAATGACAAAATTTTTGTACTTTGTAATTAGAATATTACCATTAAAGATGGGATGTGGAATACCTGAATGTATTAGATGTCTGCACATTGATTTATATTTACGAATGATGTCCTTGTATCAATGATAAAATTTAGTAAAAGTTTTGACAAGATTGTGATACCGAAGACCCTGGTGTTATAATTTTAGAGGAATACAGGGATTTCTTTCGTTAAAATCAAATACGTTCTCCCATACACGGGCAAGTTGAGATATATAACACTATAAGATGGTAACAAGGGAACATCACCTTCTAAAATAGATAATTAACAATAGGAAATAAAATATCATCTCTTTTATTATCGTACATTTCAGTATTTAGCTTCCCATTAAAGATATAGATATCAAGGTCCAGAACAGAGTGTTCATTGTTATTATTAACTTTATTTAAAGTAAGTTCCACAGGATAAATCTCTTTAGTGTAACATACTGAAATAGTCATTATTGAGAGCCAATATATCATCCAAATATCTAAAAGTGTTATCAAAGTTTGGTATTAGATATTGTTTCGATTGGTCTTGGCTGATTTTAGTCATAAATTGTAATTTGTAACAATACAAAAACAGGTCCGCAATAAGTGGTGCACAGTTAGTCCACATTGGAATTCCGATAACTTGGTAATATACGGAATCTCCATAGCGAACACAAATGCTATCTAGTAAAATTTCAATACATATAGAATATCATATGGCTTTTTCAATATCACACCTGTATCAACCCAAGACACCAATATAATCCCAAGAGCTCTGCTCGAGGGATTATATTGGTTGAAGGTTGATACTGAGTGTGATATTGAAAAAACTATATCATATACACTTTATTATATAAATGTACATCAAGTACAACTTATTTAGATGGATTTTTTTTTCACGTGACATGACGTAAAACATATATAAGGGGTTTGATAAAGCCCTTGTAATCGTGACTGATATCGATTTCGTGACGTCATACAAATAAGGAACCGTGACTGATATCGATACCATGACGGTTGACTGATACAGCATAATTGCCATCGATTGTATTACACCAGAAGTCCATTACTAGACGAAGTGTGCAACCCGCTATATAGTAAGGCGATCACGTTGTCCCCGTACTTCCAGTTGTGATTGAAACGGGATTTGAGTGAGACTGCTATTAAAAGTAACAAAAATCAATGGCCAAATTTTTTGCGATGCATTCTGGGTAGAGATAATTTATGCAAAACACCCTATAACTTAATTAGCACACAGTTGAAAATAATGTTTGACTATCGACGTGTTAATGAATAACAGATCCTAGCATATTATATCAGTGTCATGAGTCGTTATGATGGTTTTGATATTAATTTGTATAATTTATCAATTTAAAAACTAGTTATAACCGTAGAAAAATTGTCAGACGGAACTAAAAAACTCACTTCTTAATACAATAAACGTTTGGTTTTAGAGTTAATTGTGAAAAAATTGCCATTAAAAAAAGTTGGCAAGGAAAAATAAGGTCGGAGAATTGAGTATCCATATACAGTACAAGTAACACTGGATTAGGAATGAGTTTAATAGGAATAAACATTCTGTTATATTTATATTAAGAATATATGTTACGAATTACAAATTTCAAGAAATAAGTTTTTTTAAAAGTTACACGGGAATTCTGCAGATATAACCATTTTTAGCAAAATTAACAAATTGTACCCTCAATTTTGAAAAAAAGAGGGGAAATTTAATTGTATACCTTTCATTAATTTCGAATATCTTCGATCCTGCGTAACTGAGATCTTGACGGTAATACTACCTCGGATGATGGTGTGGTTGAACAAAGGTTATCTTTTCAGTCAGATATTGTTACATTTATCCGTTAAAATACATGTAAAAAATTCCGTTCACAAAACGTGCGTTCGACGTATAAATTTTAAAGGTTAAAATTGTAGGACAAGTTGCGATCATGATCTTTGTAAACAAATGAGTAATAAATATATATTCTTTATTTAAGTAAACTTCATACAGAAATATGACGAAGTCTTACTTCAAAAACCTATAGCTGTAGTTTAATTTGTTCAAATACTAAATCAATCTCAAGGGTTAAGTTGGGTCGTAAAGAAATAAAGTATTCCTTGGAAGTTTCTGGTTCCAACAGTAAAACCCTTTCTTACAAGTGTTAGATGTATACATTAATAGCAGCCGCGTCAGGTCGGATTAGGGACTTTAA